TGTGTACAATTTCATGTTCCATCTTTTTAACCTGTTCACAGTAAAACCTAAGAAAATGGTAGATTGATTTTTTTTATACACCGGTATCGTTTCTCAATAATTACCAGACCTGTGACCAGTTACAGTTCTAATAACTGGTTCTTTTTTTGAGAACTGGCCGTAATGCTCGATTTTTTTTCTCAAATGTACTTGCTCTATGAATAATGGTGATCCAATAATTCCACTCATAAGGGAAGGTCCCTAAGTGTGAATCTCAGTTTTGAGTAGGAGATATACCAGTTTGTACAGCTTGACGAGCTGATTATCGTGATATATTCTGTTTTCCCCAATGAAGCTTCAAATCAATAGAAAATGATCTATTTTACTAGTGGATTTTTTGAATTTGGATAAATTTCAAGGCAGTTGATAGAAACTTTAGTCTTACAGGATTCTTAAAGTTTCAATGATCATATTAATAAATAAACAACGCCACATGTGATAGCCTATTATTATGTTATTTTAAACTAATAGGAGACCAATATTCGCCGATAAAATTCAATTCTATCATTGCTATACACATTAATTGTAAAATTATTACACTTGGATGTACTTGAGTGATCCTCAGAGAAACCTTTGCTATGTATCCAGAAGTTGAAGCTTAACTTGTGCTAAAAATAATATAATAATAGACTATCTCAGGTGACATTGTCTATGTTTTAACACAATCGCCGAAAGCTTTAAGAGTCCTTCAAGATTGAAATTTCTGACAAATGTCTGGATTTTTCCAAAGGGAAGAAGTTTTCTAGTAAAATCGAACACTTTCTTCTCATGTGAAGTTCCATTGAAAAAAGACGTTATATATTACGAGAATCAGCTGGTTGAGCTCTTCAATCTGGTATATTTGCCATTCAAAATTGAAACTCACACTTGGGAGCCTTCTCTCGTCAGTACTTGCTCCAATTATCAAAAAAAAACAACTCATTACCACGCTCAATTTTTTTTTAAAAGACCTGTTCACCGTATCCAGTTCCATTCTTTGATCGAAAATGCCACAGGTCGATTAATTTCTAAATTTACTGATCTTGTGAAGGATAAATTATTTCTTTCTCGTATTGCAATAGACTAAAATAACTTCATAATGACTCACTAATTTCATAACTTATTCAGAAATTTCTTATTACTATTTTAGGAAACTACGTCATTTAAGGTTAAATTAGCTGTACTTAATGATAGCTTTCAATAGATCCTACGAAGTGTTGACAGTTACCAGTGAATTTGTATATCTCGTGCATAGATTCTTTCGTTATGCGGAAATTTACTTTTTTGAAACTCTGAACATATCTGGAAGAAGAGATTCAATTAAAAAGAAGACTTGAAGATTCTATATATACGTCTTCTGTCATTACTCTCGTAAATATAATGTCTGTATTATCAATGTTTTGAGATAAAAGAATAATAATGATTGAAAGTTTTGAATAATAATTTTTTTCTTTTATATTTGATTATACTTCAATCGAATAATGAAAGAAAGATAAAAGTGATCATGAAGAAAAGAAATCACGAAATGATTAGATCAATGAGGACGAGTTATTTTAAAAACATTGCAAATTTTATCGAATGCTTCTTGTGATCGATTCCTTCTCATTCCATTAGCACTTCCGATTGACGATGATGTTGAAACTGCTCCTGGACTAGTTGGAACATTAGTATGAAATTGATCAAAACGCACTGGATCATATTCAGTTGGTGGTACATCTCGCCCATGTGTTATAATAAGAGTAAATAAACGTTTTATTTCCTGAATATCAATATGATTTCTAACTGTTTGATCGAGTGTTTCATCATAAATTTTTGAATATTCTAAACATATTTCATCTAAATCTTTATCTTCATGACCAATAATAGTACGTATTAAAGTAACGTAATCAATTGGTGTTTTATCTAATGCTTGTCGAAGTATTTTAGCATGATAACTACTTGGTGATCGTACATATTCGACCATATCTTGAAAACATTCAATTTCAATTTTTTCTTGAAATTCATGTTCAATTGCGTCTTGTATTGGTCGTCCATATTTATCTTCATATACATCAAATATAGCTGATAATTGTGAAAAAGCATCATGTGTAAAAATTCTTATAAATGTATCATAATCAATACCAGGTGTACCTTCACCAGCGTCATATAATTTTTTAGCTATATTTTTAGCTACGGTTGCTGAATGACCAGATTCTTCATAACGTTTACCTTCAAGTAATTGTTTAAGTAAATTTGTTATTAAATTTTCAACACCTTGAACAATATCAATATCATCTTTTACAGAACTTTCAAATAAATTTTCATATGTTTCTTTAAATTTGTGTATATCCTCATTGTTTAATGGTAATAAAATTTCAACTAATTTTCTTGATATATCATAATCGATTTTTTTCAATTGTTTATATGTAAGTAAATCATGAAAATCACGTACATATAATTCAACTGGTTCAATTAACATTGCTAATGTACATGAACGCATTGGAGATTCAGGTCTTTCGAGTACCATATCAATTAATTTATAATCATATTCAAATTCAAGATCACGAACAAGAATAATACGTTGTTCACATGTATATGATGATAAAAAATGAAGAATAGCATCTAAATCCAATGTATGTGCTGTTATACATTGTTTCAATATTTTGGATAAATACTTCGCATCACGTTTATAATCAAATTCTGATACATGGCCAAATGTAGGAAGAGTAGATTGACGCTAAAAATTTGATAAAAAACCGAGTTATTTTTGTGTTTGAACTATTTAAAAACAAAAAAACAAAGGTTACCTTGTTTAGTGTTTTAGAAGGTGAGTGATTAGATGAGAAATGCATGTTTATTTATTATTGAAAAAAACCCTTGTATAAGTATGAAAGGTTAAATTTATATATGTGTTATATGATGTTAGTTTTATAACATAAGAGAAATTCCGCATACTTACTGGTAAACGTCTATCTATTTTCGTCAAATCATGTGCGTATGTTTTTGATCTTACTAATGTTGTTACTTTTTTTATATCATGATGTGAAACTCTATGCAACAAATTTGACATTTCTTCTTACTTCTAATGAATTTATCAACAACAAAGAGAAAAAAAATAAATGACAGAATAATACATATATGGTGTTGATATTTATACGAAAAAAATGCAATAAAACGAAAAAACAAAAAAAAAGTGTATCCTTTTTCTATCACGCCATTTATATTATGAGTCGATAGATCGGAGGATAGGAAATATGTTTATTGTAAGTCATGCTTCGTTGATTCATGCCTCTGAGTAATAACGTGGCAAATGTATAGTTCACTATAAAGAAAGAAGAATATTTTAAAGACGAGACATACATTTACTATCTGTACTTCAAACAACATGTAGTCAAATTTTTTCCTTTTCTTTCGTGTAAAAAGAACGATCATACTCTAAGGTTATAATCGAAAAGTATTTTATAGGACAATGATTGTTAGATTTGAAAGGGCATATAAAAGATAAATTCAACATGATCAAGTGTATTCATATCCGTTGAACCATAAACTGATGAACTTTAAAGTAAAATGATGTGTCTTGTGTTTTATTTACTAACATATATTATTATATTTAACGTGAATATGTATCAATAATGTCTCTTATTGCACGAATTTGACTTGGGTTAACATTGCAACATCCTCCAACGTATTTTAAGCCAGCATCAATATACGAAGGAATAAATGGTGCAATTGATTGACCTTGACTATTGAATACTCTATCATTATAAATAAAAAGAATAGAATATATACAAAAAAAAAAAGTAGAATCAAGATTATTTTTACTGTTTTTCAGCATCCCATGTAACACCAGCATTAGGATAGGCTATAAAATCGCGATCAATTTTATTCATTTGTTTGATAAGAGGAACAACAGTGTCTGGATGTACACAATTTACACCGACAGCTATAATTTGATCAGGAGATTTAAGACAAACAGATGCAGCTGCTTCTTCAATTGGTTCACCATGGGCTGTCCTCTTACAATCCTATATGTATATATACATTTTGTAATTAAAAATACTGATTTAACAGATTTCTTTTTAAGATTTTATTTATCAATCAGTCTTATGAAGAATACTAACAGCAGTTACAAAACTATTGCGGATTTCACAATAAAATGTAGGTTGTCATTTTTCGAATAACTTTTGATAGAAATGAAATACAGAGCTGCGATTTTCACCATTCGAAAGAGCGATGACTAGCCATCGATTTGTATAATATTCATTGGGACGAAAGATGCTTTCTCATAGAAAACATTTGATTGACACTTTTTTTCTTGTATATTTTCATTAATTTTCACGATAATCTCTTCTCAAATTACGCCAAAATGTAGCTGAAATCACCCTTTTTTCACTATAAATTTATCATCGTTTTGTCGAAATCCACCTGAAAAAAGAGATCAACGTGGATAATGAAACATGTGGTGATTTTATAGTGAGAAAAGGGTGATTTCAGCTACATTTTGGCGTAATTTGAGAAGAGATTATCGTGAAAATTGATGAAAATACACAAGAAAAAAATGTCAATCAAATGTTTTCTATGAGAAAGCATCTTTCATTTCAATGAATATTATACAAATCGATGACCCAGACATCACTCTTTCGAATGGTGAAAACCGCAGCTCTGTATCTCATTTCTATCAGAAGTTATTCGAAAAATGGCAATCGGTCTTTTATTTGGAAATGCACAGTAGAATCTTTATATTTTTGTAAAATTTTTCATCGATGATTAAGCAAAAGCTTAATAAACAACATTCAATTATTTTGTTTATTAGAACTAATAAGAAAATCAAGATAACTTGCACATTAAACAATCATTTATGAAATATGCATTAAAACAAATATGATAATATTTTCATCTTTTGCGTTCTTCTGTTTTAGTAAAAGAAAGTCGATGTGTCATAAAGTAAAAGTCGTAATATTTTTCCTTTGCATGACATTCATATTTATGGTATATGATTCAAAAAAATATATATGACGACATATAGAACTAAACCTTTTTTTTTCTCTATTACTCATCAATTATCAAATAATAACTGTCATCGTTAAAATTATTCTCTAATTACAAGTACTATTACTTGATGATTATCCACATTAAAAAAAAAAGATGGGATCTATATTACACGAAAACAGTCTCATTCAACAAACAATGAATATTTTTTTATCTAAAACTTTTAACGTTATTTTCATTTGTGACTATTTTTCATGAGAACTTTTAATACCTGACAATTGAAAGAAACCCATCCTTTTACATTTGGAAATTCTTTCAGTAATTCAACTAGTGCTTCAGCTTCTTTTTGGGATGGTATTGTTTCAAAAGCAATTAAATCAGGCTCAGCACGAGCTAATATTGCCAATCGAGGTCGATGCCAATCTTTGAATTGCTACAGAAAAAAAAAATCAATAATTACCTAGAATGAACAAATAAAAATCAAATACTTCGATTGTCATCGAATCTGTATACCATCCATTAAATTCACTACCATCATTTAACGTTCCTCCATAAGGACCAATTGAAGCTGCTACATAACATTTTGCTTTTTCTTCATCTATATTCGAATAAATAAATAAATAATTTCATTATTAATTATAGTTTCAAATTTAAACTAACCAATAACATTTCGAGCAATTTTTACTGCATTATATATAATTTCTTCTGCTTGTTCATTAGATAAATGATGATGGGTCATTAAATTCTCAACTGAAACTTGATACGTAGCAGTTGAAATAAAATCACATTTTGCTTGAACAAAACTAAATTTTAATCTATTTAGTATTTATAATATAGTTATGTATATAAACATTACGCTCGATGTGCTTTTGCAAGTTGTTCCAATTCTGTTACTAATGCTTTTCCAGACCTTATAGCAATGAAAAACAAAAATAAATACATATAAATACATCAAAGAAAATTTCTGTTAGAATTATTAACCATAAAGGATCATCAAGTATAGCAAGTCCATATTCATACAATGTCGTGCCAAGGCCACCATCAATTAAAATGACTTTATCATCTTTTCGAGAGAAACTCATCTAAAAATCTTTATTTATGATTTCTGTTTTTACCGCTTGATTTTTCATTTATCATTTAAACACACAAAAAAAGGAAAATATTGTTTTTATTTTTTGTTTGAAATAACGTTACTTCTTCTCACATCTTTTTTCTTCTGATTTTTTTCTTATTTCTTTTCATCACGCCAAACGAAGACCCATAATTTTAGTATAAAAGAAAAAGGAGAAAGTGAGAAAAAAAAATTCATTATTAAAATAAAGCAATCGTTACGCTGATGTTTCACGATGATGTACAAACACAACCTACAAACAATTTGAAACGGAATATTAATGAGCATCCGATTAATCGAATACTTACAGCTTATTTTAATACTAATAAACAAATAAGAAATTCTCAATCAAATACTCGATCAAACAATTATAAATCAGAAACAAGCCGTATTATTCAACGTCAACGAGTTATACGTTCGTTTTTAAATAAACCTGACGAAACTGAAGTAGGTAAACAATATCGTGACTTATACAAGAAAGAATAAATAATTTCATCGTCTATTGTCTCTCATAGTTTCGATAGTCGAAATACTTATTTAGACTATATTATCAATAAAAATTTTTTTTTTAAAACTTTCGAAATATGAGAATGAATAGTTAAATAAATCAAAGAAAAATAATCAAGGACCTGCTGCCCAAACTCTTTCATCTATGAGCTGACATACTGATATCCTTCACGGTAGATGTTAAGTTAGATCCCCGTTCATAAATAATCGAACTCAGTCTTCATCGGTTTGCAGTAGATTGACACATCCTTGATCTCTGTTGAATGACCATGACTGTTGAGATAACCTTTTTAGCTATACCTTTCAAATTAAATGATTTTTTTCCTCTATAGACGATACTACGTGGTTCTTTAATAAAAATCCTAACATGATTTCGGTCCCTATTTCAGATTTGGCTAAGCTAGTGAATTTTCTATATATCTATTTTGTAGAGATTCCAGATTTCCGGAGAACTCGTATCTTCAAATTTTAATCTGAAACTTTGCATATATACAGAACTGAATTAGATTAGCTTTCCTGTAACAATTCAGATAGTTTGAATAAAATCGCTTTGAAATATGAAGTTTTCAAAAAAAAAACTCTTGTTGTATACACTCTCCGGAAGATAAAAATAAGTTCCTTTTTCAATTGTTTTTTTTTTCTTCCTCTTGTGGTATTTTATATACATCTATATGTCATTATATGGTTACTAAAATCAACAAAATTTATATGCCATTTAATTGTTTATTTACTTATTATTTTGTTTTATTTTGTATTCATGTCAAAATGATCTATTCCGGTAATGTTGAGAGACGACAGACCACAAGGCAACGAAGACAAATATCCTATGTAATCGTTTTTCGTTTTATAGTAAAGGTATTCATAAATGTGTCTTTTTTGAAAGTCGATTCTTTCTATAGTTTATAAGGGTCAGAAGTGGATATTCATCCTCTCACCAATCATCAATGAAGACATAGCTCTGAATCGAAGTGAAAATCTTACTTCAAGTTCTTTGCATCCGACTAATTCCAACTTTGCATGCGCACAGTATCAGCCTCATGACTATGATATACAGTAATGGTTCGTGCCATGAGTATGCGTAGGATTTTATATGTGTGGATAGCTGTCGTAATCGAGCTAAAACTTTTAGTAATATTGCTGCTGACATTTAGAGCTGCATCTTCATCGACTATTGCTGATAGTATGTGTGACCACTTGTGAGACGTGTCGACTAAAGAAAACAATCAGCTTTCAAAAAAAGACATATTCAGCAATACTTTTACTATAAAACTGAAAACGGTTAAATAGAATATTTTTCTTCGGTGTGTTTCTGTTTATATTTTCTTAATGTCACTAACATAGGTTATTTTGTAGTCAATACGAAATAACACATAAATAAAATATAACATGTACATACACAAATGTGGTTGACTCTTTGACTTTTATTATAATATACAGATGTATATCTATAATAAAAGAGGAGTGAAAAAAACGAATTGAAAAAAGTAACTTATTTTTGTTCGTGCGATATTATCCGTGGAACCGGATCTTTACACTGAAAGTCTTATGGCTTGAAGAGACTTTGTTCAAAACATCTGAGTTTTCTATGAGAGCTAGTTTATACGAGTTCTCTGTATGCGCAAAGTTTCCGACTAAAATTCGAAAAAAATATGGGTTTCTCAAAAATGTGGAATTTTTAGAAAAGACATCTTAAAAATTTGATATTCAATAGGACCCTAAGTCTGTTTAGGATTTTTATTAGAACACAATATAGCATCTATATAGAAATAATCATTGAAATCGGAAGGTCGCAGCTAAAGCAGCTCCCTCCTCAGATGGTATATGCCTAACTTTTATCAAAGTAAAAAAGATACAATCTCTCTTATTTTGATGTTTTCTTCGACATTATCTTTTGTATATAATGAAAGTATAGGATTTCTTTTTTTTGTAATTTCTTTTTGTCTTATTGAAACTTCTCAAATTTCTAATCGAATCATTGCAGTCATCTATTCAAAAACCAACAACATCCAATACTAAATTCAAAGTTTCACCAACATCTATTTCATCTCCACATTTGTTATTTGCTGAATTAAATGAACAATCAACAAATAATAATAATCATCCACGAACAATAAAAAAAGAACTTGAACGGCAATCACCTATATTAATTCGTAATAATCGCTCTAATATAGAACGTACTTCTCCTATTCAAATAAAGTCAGATGTAGCGAATATTTCTGGACATCAATTACCACTAACAATTCCACCAAATTTTACATTTCGAAATAAAGTATCACAAGCATTTCTATCGGACAGATCATCACTTAAAATAAATAATCGAATTGCTACACCACATACAAAACCAATAACGTATTCTAAAACAATTAGTGGAAATATTCTTAAACAAAATGCATTACATTCAAAATCAATTCATCAAAATAATTTTTTTTCAATGCATAAATGGACACCAAAATTAACAGAACAAGAGCCTATTCATGATCGAGCATTAAATAGTATATTACAATCAAAATCACATTTATCAAAATATTTTATAAAACGTCATGATTATGCATTACAATCTGAAAAAATAAATACTAATACAAAATTAAATAATATTCAAGATTTATATATTTCATCACGATCATTAAATAATCCACATCATGAATTGGAAATGAATAAGAAATCACGTCAAAAAAAATTAATTGTTGATGAATGTAAGTTTAATAATAATACAAAAAAGAATATTATTTTTTATTAATTTCTCATATTAGAATCTCTCAAGTGTTATAAATGACAGAAATCGAAAACGAAGAGAATAAAGCCTAAACTCACTGTATCTTTTTTTCTTATCAGATCACAGAGTTACGTTGCTTTTTCTAGATCGAAATTGTGGTCATTCAAACAGATTATCTCACAGTTTCATAGTTTTTTTTTAGATTCGATCAATTCTAATGATGATAAATCTATTAGATATGATTATATGCATAGTTTTATCAGTTAACATATTTAGAGATGTGAAAAGTTGTAGTTTCATAAACACTGAAAATAATATCAATAGTGTAATAGTTTTAAGCTATCAAGAATTATATGATAGCATTAATTAAATGTGTATCACACAGAGAGTAACGTTATTCATTTATAATTTGCTTCTAATCAAAATTATAGTTTTTTTTAAAATAAAAAGACAATACTTCTCTTCTCATAAAGTGAGAAAAACAAGTTTCTTTTGTGAAACACCATCTGAAAAGAGTGTTGAATTATACAGGGTAGAAATTGGGACCTACTCCATTCTCCTTCATAGAGCATGATAAATATTTTAACAATGTCCTTCCTTTCCATCGCAGATCATAATAAGTTTTGATATTCGATCGAAGATCATATATGTATTACTTCTCGCTCTAATAGATGAACTACTTCGTTATTGAATATCTAAGTGATTAAGTAAAAAGATAGTAAAGACATATGTCTGATAATATATAGAATACAACAGTATTCCTGTTCTTAACAAGAGCAGTTACATCGTGATTCGTAGTTTAATCCTACCAGGATTGGGCTAACAGCTTTAAGATGATGTCTACAACATGATTGAAAATCAACATTTAGACATGCGATAGTAGACAAATGCATACGAGTATTTTCGATTATCATTCAAAAAGATTGAACCTAGGATTTCCGAAAGTTACGTATACATTACATTTTAATAGGGGAAGATCCTAAATGGAGCCATAGTGGTATGTCCGATGAAGATGAATCGATTAGTGCTGATGGAAATAGTTCAACATCAACATGTACGTCTCAAGTTAGTGTTCAACAATATGATCATACATCATCTTCAATTGCTGCTCTATCTGATCAACATGATTTATCCTTATCTCCTAATTTATCTATTGATAGTTCAAAATCTAAAGCTCAACATTTACCAACCAAAAGAATCATATCACGGCGACGTACATATAATCTTGCTCTACCACCGGTTGCTGAACATACCAATGACGAAGAAACAGGTGATGAATCTCATTAACTAAGTTTCATAAATTCTTTTTTTCTTTTTTTTTCTTTCTTAATTTTTAATTTCTTTTCCTATTCCAAAAAAAAACAAAAATAGAATCTATTTATAATATCCATACAGATGATATGAAGAAAATACTTGAAAAAATCTATGCTCTACAAAACAATGATCTCAATGAAATAAAATTCGAACGATCAATTGATGATGAACATAGTTTAACATTTCAGTTATTAAATCAACAAGAAACAGAATTTGAAAAAAAATTATCGAAATTAAAAAAAAATTGAATTTAAATCAAAACAATATTTAAATCATTTTCTTTATCTTTTTTCCTTTTTTTTGTGTCTAATCAAAATATATATATATACAAAAGTATACGATTGAATTTCTTTCACAAAATTCGTTCTTTCTTTTTGTTTTATAAATTTCACAACAGAAACAAATGTTTATTATATTAATATGAAATTTTTATGTTTTGTTCTAAATCAAACATTCCCAAAGAAAATAGGTAATTCTTTGTGTAAACGTTTGTATAAATGTTGCACAATCGATATCATTCCGATGTTTGACTAAGTACGATTTCTATAGAAAAATAAAATAGAAATTTCAATAAATTCAAATAAATGTTACATTTATCTTACTAGATTATTTTGATCCGATCGATAGATAAGAACAAGGAATGCATCGCATTGTTGTGGAGCTTTACATTGAAAGGTGACCTTAAAAGAAATTATATTTATTATATGAGATGGTTTTTTTCGTTTATTTGCCAAGGATTTATTTATAAGACTAAAGATATTCAAAATTTCATGATGAATAAATCTAAATACGAACAAATGATTACGTATTGGGTTGAGAAATATTTTTTGTTCCCTGGACCAAGTCTCATTGGTCCTTATCATTTGAAGTGTTTTACAAAACAAACTGTGGTGTATAAGAGACAATCTTCATTCTTATCTTCTAGATTAAACACACATTTAAAATTAAAGATGTGCATGATAAGCTTTTATCTTAAGCTGTACTCTGACCGTCGAGGGAACGTTTTCAATTGATCAATCGCTTTCTTATACAATGCTAGTAGATTGTAGGTTATCTATCATGTTGATTTTCAATATAACTATGAGTAGCCTCCCTAGGGCATCATATGTTGACTTTCCAAACTAACAAACTTTCTGCTAAAATTTTTCTTTTGATTTGTCCAGATTATAAAGCATGTCAAATTACCGAAGAGACAGTAATTTCTTCATTTCAAGTCGTTTTATTTTTGAAGAAAATACAGTCATTTTGATTGATACACGAGAACACATGTCAACGTGTCAATGTATTTCGTGAGAGAAATTTTCTAAGTCTTACTCTACCCTACTATCCAAGGTAGGATAGAGTAACTCTACATATTTCTATTGAAATAAATACTGTGATTCGTAATTGCACCTAAAAGCCAACGGAAAAGTTCAGCCGTAGAAGATGCTGTAAAATACAATCTTTAGTCAATTTATTTATTATATGAAACAAATGGTTGTAGAGCATTTGCTATTTTTTAATAGAACAAAAGCTCTTGGACGTGCGAAACAAGAGAAAATACAATGTATAACTTCGGCATTTTTCACCATTATAGTGATGAGTGATAACTAGAAACATGGGTTCATAAAACGTAAATTGATTAGGAGTAAGATGATAAACTCAATACAAAACACTGGTTTCATTTAGTATCTTTGTTTTTCTAATAATAGGTTCTAAGGTTGAAAAATAATTGGAAATCAATTCTACTGTAAATTTTCTTTCTAAATTAAGGGAAATGCAAAAATTAACATATTTTTGTTTTTGTTCATTCAACATTCGCATATTACTTTCTATTTGCTAAAGAAAAATAAAAAATCTGAACTTTTTCGTTTACTTTACGCCTAATAGAACTTGCTACTATTCATAAATATAGAGGAAATATTCTCTTTTTTGTCAAAATCGTTTTCAATCAGTAAAAAATTCTTTTCTTACTAGATAATGAACTGTTGATGAATTAATCGTATGAAATTGTGAACCATATCGTGAACGTAAAAATCGATGCAATCTTTCCGATTGTTCTTTATTATTAAATACGCGTTGTAACAATGAAGTAATCGTTTTCAATTCAATTGTTTCATCACCAATACACGAATCTAATAATGCTTGAAATTCATTTATATGTATTGGTATTACCTAAAAAATCAAAATTGAAATAAAACATTCTATTAAAAATATCAAAATAATCAATTACTTCTTGACGTCCAGCTGTAGAACTATCAGATCGAGAAGCAATTAATCTTTCCCATAAACTTTCACGACGATGTGATAATGATGCTTTATTTAATATACATGTTAATTTTGATCTAAACATGAGTTTTTATTTTTAAATTCGTTAATTTTGTTTTTGGATTTTTCCTTACTTGAAAAATTCCACATTTCTTTCAGTAGGAATATTATTACCAATATTTTGTTCTGAACCAAATGAACTTGATCGAATTGGTACAACAAGATTAGTTTTTGTAGATGATGGTAATATAGTTGATGCACGTTCTCTCATTTGATTATTATTTGTATTATTTTTGAAACTATTTCCCATTCGTTGATTACTTATTGAAGGAATAGATATTCTATTTAAAGATGGTGCACTTATATTTGTTGAAGTGTGTTGTTTCGGTGTTAAATTTGTATAGATAATATACATAACAACTGTCAATTCAGAAGATGATGCTGGAGTTGTACGAGCAGCCATCCAATAAATATCTTTGAGATCATTATCGTACAGATATTCATCCTAATATTTTAAAGATAAATGATTATTATTATTAATGAAAAGATATATTTGAAGAGTGTAGAAAATGAAATTTTATTTAAAAAAATGTTCGAGATACTATCGTACTGTTCTTCAAAGAGAAAATGGCACTCTTGTCATTTGATTAAAATGTAAAGTTCGATTTTTATTTAATTTTAGCGTTTTTTTTTCTATTTCTGGATAAGCTCAATCTATCGTCTATTAGTATTAATTAATTCGGCATTTTTTAGTCTTGATTTTGATTTAGAAAAACCTTTCTCAAAACTTATTCACATTGAATCTAAATGTATTCTAAATGTTCATGCTTCGATTAATGTACTTGACAAATATTCTTTCTTTTGTTATCACGCTTGAATAATACGATTTATAATATAATTCGCCAAAAACTTGTAGAAAATTTAACGTGAGTTTTTAGCTTTGACTGAAACAACTTTCTTCTCGTAATCCTGATCGCAGCAATCGAGACTAAAACCTGGCCAGCGCACTACTATCTAAGCAGACACAAACTTCGATAAACTCGCTAAAATACTCTAACTGCAACCTCTGTTTGAGCGTTTGTCACAGTAGTTCAAAAACAAAACGCCAACACTAGTCACTTCCATCATAAAAATGATGTGCAGATGCTTAGAAAACAAAGGATGTTTTGCATTCGAAAAACTTGCAAAAATATTTGCCATAATATTCTGACATTTTTATACGTGATGTATGACAAAAATGTAAGGGAAAAATCCCTTTTTTAAGTATCTTCATGAAACTTTTATGATAAAGGTGTCTGGTTTTGTTGTTTTCTGAATAAACATGAAAAAAACTTAAACAACAACCTAGATCAGAGCATTTATAAACATTTTTCTTTTTTAATTGTTATGATTCGTTTTTTTGTTCACATGGACGAAACTATTTGTATCATCTCTAAATACATACATATGATTTATCATTCTTAGAATTAGAGAAAGACCATGACGGGACACAAGACTTAATGAAAATAGCAAAAAAACGTTTGCATGCCTTTCTTGTAGAATTTGATAAAATTTTACTATAAGTTAATTCTAAATAACGTTTTGCAAAGTATCGTTTTTTTTTCTAGTGCCAAAGTTTGACAACTTTGAAAAGTTCCATATTCTTAATCGAATTCGTTTAAAATTTTTTTTTTGATAAGGATTGATCTATTCAAACGATTCTTATATTAAAAAACAAACTATTAAAAGTCTGATCTATAATTTATTGCTTCTATCACATATAGATATATGCAAGGGCAAATGATACTTGCAAAGTCTGCTATCTTTCGATCGAATATTTTATAGATAGGAAGAAAAACTAAATCTATCTAAATACTAATTCTTCATGTGAATATAAATTACTTATGTTAAATAATATTCATCTCTTCATCATAGTTACAGAAAAAATGTGGAATCGAGCTCAATCAACATGAAATCAATTATATCAACTTACAGAATTTCGTTTTGCAATTTGAATATTATATGTAGTTGCGTGTTCCAGTACATATTTGAATAAATAAGCATCAGCTGAACGTTTACCAATATCAATTTGATGATGAATAATAGCTATTAAAAAAAAAATTGTTTTTGTTTTACTAATAGATTTTTTTTCAAATATTAAAAAAGAGATATACTTTTAAATAAAGCTGTTTTTGATCCAATCGGTGCATTTGGATAATATTCAATAAAATCTTGTAAAAATGTAATTAATGAAAAATCTGTTGGAAATAATTGTGCATCTTTTGAATTTTTTAGATAGCGTATTATTGTTTGAAGATGAAAATCATAAACAAATGCATCAAGTTCTGCTTGTTCAGGAATCCAAAATGAATCATTTGGAATCTAAAGTTAATTCAAAAAAAAAAAAACTCATACTTTCGAATTAAAGAAAACTAATTATTTTTTTAGCACTTGTCGAAAATGTGTTATTGCTAATGATTGATTATTTGTTGGTATTTTAATAATATCATATTGAAGAAAACGTATAATAATTTGAACATTATTTAATAATGATAATTCAGCAAGTAATGTTGCACGTCGATTAGGATCAGAACGATGAAAATTATATTCAGTTGGTGATTGAACAAATGATGAACGAGGAATTCTTAAATTTTGATAAAAGAAAATTTGGAGAAAATGATGTTTATTTTTGTTTTTACTTTCGAGGAAGTGATTTTGTGTTTATTTGATGAAATTTATAAGGTGTTTGCAGATGATTAGAAAGTTGTTCAATAAATGATGCAGTTATTTGAACATATTGTTGTTCAAGATTATTGAAACGAATTGTATCAAAACGTGTTAATTGATTTTGAGCGATTTGATAATCACTCTAAATAGAAATCAAAAAAAATAAAAATGAACAATTTGTCATTATTATTATTGTTTTTATTAAAAAGTTAGCTTGTATAGCAGCTGCCAATAATATATGCGTATTCCTGACATTGTCTGACACATAGAATAGTGATGTTAAAAAAATGCAATTATTGAAAAAAAGTATGAAGAAAAAAGAAAAGCCCAAGACGCATTTCAACAAGCAAATTTTATCGATAATAAGAAAAGTATTCATTGATCTATCAAAATTTAGAATATCTTCTTAATATCACTATGCATATTGACATATACTCGAAGGAACAGTACGGAAGGCATGAAATACGAAAAACAAAAAAGAGACAGAATTATGTTAAACACTATAATTGATAAAGTTAGTAGTCCACACCAGTCAACAAACCCGAGATATTATGACATAAAGCCCTCATAATAATGATCAATTTTTACTAAAATATGGCTGTGGATGGTGTAAAATATATATATATATATACGCTGATATGTATATGAATATATATATATATGTATATGTGTGTGCGTGTGAATTAGGAGAAGGGACACACGAGTAGCGGCTGCATATGGACAAAAAAGAAGAAACCTCATGAACCGATTGCACAGATCGGCGTAGAGCAAAATCGACAGGAATGGCAACGGATTTGCGTTTATTTGCCATGCGATAAGCCGGTGAAACTCCAACTGCTGCTGCTGCTGGTGTGGAAACATCCTGAAAACATAGATATTTTACATAAAAAATTATGCTTTCGAAAATTTTTACAAAATAAACTGAAATCATTGAAGACAAAAAAAAATGAATATCTATATAATATTCAAAATAGAATTACAAAACCAAAAGAATAGTAAGACAAAAAAAAGAGAAGAAAAATTGAATTAAATAATTGCTCACCAAACAAATTGTATTATTTGTACGTAATGTTGAATTATTTTGAAAAAATTGTCGAGAAACTCGAGAAAAAAGTATAGGTACAACACCTATAGTTAATAATCGTGAACGATGTTTCATTTGAGTTAATACATCATCCTTTAATATTCAAAAAAACAAAATGTATGTTTTATATTTAAATAATAAAGTTTATGCTTTATTTTTATCAACTAACTGCAATCGATAATTTTGGTTTGAGTACCCAATTTGAACATATTTCTTCTAGTTTAGTACATCGATCCATATCTAAATTATTATGCAAAAGAAAGAAACAAATGTTCAAATAATTTTATTTTTTATTATTGTTGATTAAAAATAAGTAGAAGAGATTTTGATTAACAAAATAACGAATGGTGCATAAAGAATAAGACATTCTTGTAACGCTTTTTTTTCTTGATGTAATTAGTCATTCAAAATAATCTTACTCAATAGAGAATCAAATTTTCTACAAAACTTAATGATTGGTTTTTGAATAACATGCTCTTCCTTCAGACAATTTCGGAAAGGTTGGGTGCATTCATTTTTCAAACTGCGTCATATGATCTACATTCTTATTCAAAAAACCGATTAACTAATACAAATTCATAAGGATAGTTATTGCTTTTTTTATTTAGTAATAGAAAATATTGTGCTCGATCAGCATAGTCTATTTACAAATTTCTATATTCGTTTCAATCACTGTCCAATACTAACAATTAGACTTCGTAGAGATTACTCAAAAATTTGAAAATACAATTTTGTTTCTTCAAGTTTTTTAATTTCGTCTAAAATATCTCTATTTAATATTAGACTATGCATAATTCAATTCTCTACAAGAATATATAACTGATAATACAATTTCCATGGACTGTTGTTGCAATATTGAAGAAAATGCGATAACTTCATATTTTTATCGTTATAAACTTTTGGGAATATATTCTTTCAAAAAACTGTCAAATATGTACAAAATAATAGAGAATTTTAAGATGAAGTTTTTCATACACTTTCACATCTGAAAAGAAGCTTGTTTGTTATAAGAAATCAACTCTTTTGTTTTTCAAGATGGTACAATTTGAAAAATGAACACAACTTACATTTCTAAAACTATATATAGGGAGAGTATGCTATCCGAAAACCAAATACTAGACTTTGTAAAGAATTTAATTCTCTGCTGAATGACCTTATTTTGGATGATTACATACATTGAACAGAACCTTACACATGTGGCTCATACTTTATGTCTCAGTCATTACCTATCAAAATTAGAGCTAAACTTTTCCTTCTGTCATGACTTCTGACAAGGCAGTAACAAATTGTGCAGAAAGTCTCGAAGTTTTTCGGAAGGAAAATTGTTCATCACTCTCGCTCTCATCAACAATCTAAACCACAAATGCCCTAAAAAATGCTAAAAGTTAATCAAGATTTTCTCTGCTGACAAGTGAATATATTGTTCCTTAATGTACTAATCATGAATCTTTAAAAAAAAATATCGTTCTTTCAATCTCCTTAGAGTGACAAAAACACTGCAAAAATGTTGAGAATATTTTCAATGAATTTTTTCCAATAATATTCTTTCTTTCATCTATTTTTTTTTACTATTGATACAATCAATTTTAATCTTCGAGTCATTTTGTAAATTAAACGAATAAAAAACATACGAATTTTTTTATTTTCTTTAAGTTGAAGTAATTGTGTTCCATGTCGTTGAACAAGATCTTGACTTAAATCATTTGATAAGGATGGATATGGACCAATTAAATTACAATAAAGTAAATCAATATTCCATGATGTATAAGTATTTCTTGTTTTTGGTGGTAAAGTTTCTTTAATTAATTGTTCAAGATCAACATGATCACTTTTTATAGAATGCTGAAAAAAAAAACAGGAATAATAATGAAAATATACGTCAAACAGTAAAAATCTGAAAAAAGAAAACAAACTTTATTTGTTGTTCCATGTTGTCCATGATGACGATTATATTCTGAATGTGGATCCTGATGAAATGATCGATAACGAAAAAGACCCATTTTTTGTGTTACAATTATATTTAAAACACCTAAACGTTTATTTGACCAACTAATTAAATTTGAAAAATAATTTGTTAATAATTTTGTTAATTCATCAGGTGCATTATATAAAATCATTGTTAACTAAATATTAAACAAAACAAAGAAAAATAATCTTAAATTTTTTGTCTTACGACTTTTGTTTTTTATTTACTTTTTTATCATTGGCAACAATACATAGAAATATTTGTTTAGGAATATCAGAACTATTTGCTAATGCCACTAAGAAATGAAAAACAAGAATTTTTTTTGTTTGTTCTATACATGATATAATTATTTTGACTTACTTGCATCACCAGATTCTTGTTGAGGTGATGGTTCAATATTTTCAATAATTACGTCGTTAATCATTTTAGTACTTTGATATAATACAATAAGATCAAGTTGCTCACCAGGCATACGTGTCGGCTAAAAATAAAAATTATATTTCATTCAAGGGTATCTGTACCTCTTTTTTTGGATATATGGAAAATGACTTCTGAGAAAATTTTGACATTTTTAGAGTAGATAGATCTCGACGAGTGGAGAAAAAATTAGCATAGATTCAAAGTTCCTGTATGCTATCTTCTATGAGATATTGGAATCACAATAGTGAAAAATGACCTTTCCATTTCTTCGAGCCCAAAATGTTCTTACAGATACTAGACACTGTTGGCGATGGATATCTTTTTATTTTTTATTTTTTACTTCGAATGAAATAGTCAAAATATCGAAAGTACTCTAAAAACGCATGTCTGTTTTTTTTTGTTACAGCAACCAAAAATCAACTAAAATGCCCTTCTCAAATTGTACATGGTATATATGAAAAAAATTTCAGCTCCATTGAACGTACTAAACTAAAGAGACGAAAGCGTTTCTACGCTCTTTTTTTTTTTCATGAAAAAGTTGGTTTCAGAAAAACTAGATTCGCTACCTCTCTTCAAACTTTTGAATTTTTAAAAACAATATTCTGATCCGAAAATGTACGCAGTAGGTAGATACTACGTCAGACTATATAATAGTCACGAAAAGCGGAAACTTTGGGTCATGAAAGTTGGGATATCCTTTATTGCTTTTTGATAGAAAAACTAGAAACACAAGGAGATTATTTTATTCAATCTATTTCGGAACACCTCATTTTACTATGCTTTTACTTAATCCTCTAGAAATGCAATAAGTAGTTCACATATTCTAACGAAAGATTATTGAGATACGATCTGTTATCGTCTATCATTGTATGTGGGTGATCTGAATTTTTATTTCTATACTTCAACATTCCTTTTATATTCTATTTCCCAAGAAAAAGAATTGATCTTATAAAAAATAAAAAGTTCGCTATATAAATTCTATAACATATGATAAATTTTAATGAATAAATATTTTAATTAAAATCTCAAAACGAATTATTAATTACATACCATTTGATCTAATCCTGATATTGGTAGATATAAAGTTTGTTCTTGATTACAACGAAATATCATTCCATGTAATGATTCATGTTTATATGCTGGAATTTTTTGTTCGTTGAGCCATGATGTAAAATTATGTATAATATCCATAAGAAGTATTCGATTAGCTAACGTATAAGAACAACATGTTACAGATGGAAGTTTTGGATCTAAAAATTAAATAATTATCGAGAAGAAAAAAAAATTTAAAATAATCTTACGATGTGTACTTAAATATTGAAACCATGATGTTAAACGATTAACATGTCCAACTGTAAGTGATTGTGGTTCATCAATTGATGAACTACTTAACATTGAACTTTGAGCTGATTCTTGACGCTATTTATAATAAACAAAAAGCAAGACAAATATTAATTCTATAAATCAAGTTTTTCAAACGAAAAAAAAGAAACTAGCAAAGTAATAAATATAGTGTAAAAACAAAGAATTGCTTTTGGTTGATATTTAAATAAAAGCATTATTTGTTTAGCCAACCAAAGACACATGAATCCCGAAGCGAAAATATTTCATATATATAATATATGGGTTTATATAAATATATGTAGCTGTTAGTGAAAAAGGAATAAATAAGGATAAACCTGTAATTTGATAGGTGAATGTGGACCAACAGGTCTGTTTCCTTTATTGAAAATACTAAATATACCACCAGTACTATTTGTCGAATGCTAGAAAAATATATTTTGACTCCAATAAACTTTAGAAATATATATAAATTAGACATAAAAAATGATCATTGAAATTTGTATCAAATCAATACAATCATTACAACAAATCATTTAAACTTACACGTCTCGATTGTACTGTAGACATTGTTACAACTGCATCAGCGCCATACGTATGTGCAGTTGGTACATTTCGATCAAGAACAAAATCTACAAAAAAGAAAAAATGATGAATAATATTTTAAAAGTTGTTAACACAACCCTTGTGAAATTAATATGTAAAACACAATATAGCTGCTATTGCTAATCATAGGGAGACTGTTTTATTCTATGTATCTTGATTGACATTTCTTTACCCTTATTTTACTTAACCATTAAGAAATTTCCGGTTTTTTTTGTATCTGACATATTCTATCGATGACTAGACTCATCGAATCCAAAACTTTTCGAACTTGATGAATTCTAATGCTACTGTATGTACTTCAACACTCTTTTTAGTTTATGTTTCAAAAAAAGCAAAATAAAAATATTTACTTGATTCATCGATAAACTTAATTGCATTCATTGAACGAGGTGATGATGGTGGATCGAATGGCCCATGTCTTTGATTATTATAAAGTGTTGGTAAAAGTTTATATTCGGTAACATAATCAGCTAATGCAAAGGTAAATGCTTGTAATAATGTATGTGACATAAGATTTTGATCAATTTCAGTGTGACTACCACGTGCCCAAACATGGCAACGAAGAATATTTTCGGATAAATCTACTGAAAAACAATTCATATTTATTTTAAACAAAAAAAACGGATGAAATTCAACGAACTATCTCCACTTGTTATGCTTATTGAAGAAGGTTTTCGTTCGACAATATGAATTAAATCAATAAGTGATGCCATAGTTAATTCATCAGATAAATCTTCTGTTGATAAAGGACTTGGACGATTACTTGGATTTAATACATGTAATTCAATCCATGCAAGACCTAAATGAAAAACAAAAGTTGTCTGAATAAATCTTGTTTTTTTTTCGATATAATTACCTGGTCGAGGAATTCCAATATTATATGTACGATTATAAACAATTAATGTTTGTCCACGATAATCTTTTATTATTTCCTAATTTTATTGAAAATAAGAAGAAAAAAAAAATATTCATAATTTCATTTTCTTTTTGTATTATTTTTTTTTACCTTAAGATCTTTGGCAAGTACAGGTAATAGAAGAGGTTGATGAAATTGATTTGTTTTAATATAACGTCGAAAATAATATAAAAATACATTTGTATTAATTAATGGTGAGATTTTATATTCAAAAATATGCTTTGGTTCACTATCAATAGGTCGAATGAACTAATTAAATAATTATATTGATTAGAATTCTTTTTTTATAATTTTAATTAAATAAATAAAGTACTTACAGTAATGTCATCAGGATTTAAACGTGTCATTGCAAAATGATATAAAGCATTGACAAGTTCTTTAACAACTTCATCTTCTAATCGAGTAACAATCGATTGAACAAGGTTACTTTTTACAGTTTCAAATTTAGGATCAGTAGCTAATAGATCATAAAATATTTATTCAAATGATTAAAACAAAAATAAAAACTTACTCGCCGATGCTAATCCATAGAGCATTACATGAATACAAAAAGTACCCTAATAAAGAAAACAATTTTTTTACTAATTTCTAACAAATTTATTATAATATCAATGAGCTATGAACATCAAAAAAATGATATTTGAATGCATATGACTCTATTGTATATTATAACTAGTATAGATTGTCTAAGATTTGTAGTAAGGTTTAATAGTTAACAAAAAATTCTATGATTAGAGTTTGAACAGAAATGAAATTTGAAATGAAATGACATCTCATCTATTCTGCATCATTTACTATGAATGTGCGTTTTTATAGATAGATCAATTTTAACCTATGACAAAATTTATTTACTATACTGAGATAAGAGTCATCATACAGCATACTTTTCTAATTAATTAGAGAGAAGACTTTATTCGTTAGAAAATGTTCGATTGCGTTTTATTGTTTGTTTTCCTCACCGATTCTAAAAAAAAACGCTTATCTCTAGCTTTAAAATTCTTGATCGGTTTCCTTATTCGTCAACCCTTCCAATTCTGGCAACCTCGAAATAATTCTGGTCATATGCAATCCAAAAATATATATTTTCAATAACCTTGAAATTCTTTCTCTTAAGCTTGATTGTGTATTCTTATCACTTAACTATTGTTATACTCTAGAAAATCTTTTCATTATTATGTCTATAATGTCATTCCTAATCATATATATATATATATGACTAAGGTTTCGAAGTAAAATTTTACTCTAAATCAAATAAATATTTCTTACTGAACCATGTCGTTGACGATTTTTCATAGCAGTAGTGGGATTTGAATTATTTTGATTATTTATTTGTGGTGATGGTGGTGCATAACATGTATTATTACTTTCACTAAGTATTAAAGAATCATCAACATAATTAGGTATTGTAGGTGGAAGAGTATCTTCTCGAAATCTCATATAATAATAATTATTTTGACCAACATAACCAAATAAATTTTTTCTATTATGTACAGCTAATGAACCAAAATGTGTTGTTAATTCACGTATAAGTGAACCTAAAATTATTCAAAAAAAAAAGTTTGTTTGTTTGTTTTTTTTTTGTTATGTTCAAATGAAAAAATATCGTTTTTTTTTTTTCTTTACCAGGATGATAACCAGATGATGGTTTTAAACTTGATGTTGCATGAAGATGTGGACGAAGACGAAAATGAAGTGGAAATGAATGATTCCATAATTCATCACAAGCAAACTTTATCAAATGATATCAATTTTAGATGAAATAAAAGCTAAAAACAAAAAATTCTTACAGTGCCAGGTGGTATACTTAAATTAGCTGTTAAAACTGGTGCATCAGCATCCAGACTTGTATCATCATTTTCACCGGGTGGTACTAATAATGAATTACATAATCCAGTTGCTGCTAAATCATCTAATAATAATTTCTAAATAAAATATTAAAAAAATAGAATAACAAAAATAAAAATTGAATATAATCCAACTTGATTAATTGTACGACATAATTTATTAAATTCATCAATTAATTCTTCTAATATTGCTTGAGGCTCACAAGATTTTTGTGTTGTATCAGATGATGATCTATATAATAAAGAGAATATTTTTGCATAAAAAAAAAGACAGATAACAACTGCACGAGAATAAATGTTCTTCGCTGAATTTATTTTGTGTCTCACTCAATTGTAACTATGCAGATTTGATTTTTTTTTTCTGTCTGAAATTGATACGCTATTCTATTCTAATGAACGGAATAAAACAGAAAATTTCTAAATTATTCGTAACAAAACAATTGTTAGAATATTATTAAAATATGAATGAGAAAAGCATCAACGTATGTCTCAAACATAAGTATGAAAATTATCAACTTAAGATAATTGGATAAACCTTTCTCAAGTACTACAAAAAATACCTATTTTGTCTTATTTTTATTATAACTAATCAACGAAACATGACTTTTGACTTCCAGAAAGTCGTTTGAAAAATATCGTATTAAAACTTCAAGTCTATGAAAAGAAGATTGAATCAGATATTACAAGAATATCATGCGAAACATTTATTCTGATGCCTTCATTTGTATTTGTCTACGTGTTGTTATTTTTTCTATACCCGCAATAAAGATAAAATTTCATTTCAAGTAAATCAACATGAGATGATGTTTTCTTTTTTCGTTCAATAAAAAGCCAAAATGATGGTTTTATATAATCATCAAGTTCATCTTCTATAGATTTTCTTTCTTCATCATCATCCATTAATGAACCATCAGAAACTGAACTATCTTCCATAGTAGCTGATGATTGATCATCATTTGAAGTAACTGATAAAGCTTTATTAAAATATCAAAAAGAAATAAAATTAATTTTTATTCTTATTATTGAATCAAATCTAACCTGGTTTACGCTTTGGATTAATTTCATTCAAAGTTTGTTGACTTGGTTCGAGTAAGACAAAATAATTTCCACATTTTGTTAGCATATATTTTTCTCGAATACGAATATTTCTTAATTCCTAATTTTAGTAAACAATCAAAAAAAAGTTTTTTTTTTTTTTCTTATTTATTATAAAGAATTTTACATCAAGAAATGGATCAATCGACTTATCAATACCAAGTACAAACATAAGATCAATTGAACGACAAAGACAATTTGATTTATTAATATTAACTGAACTTTGAACATGTTCAATAACATTTTCAATTAATTTTTTATCGAGTGTACGACGAGTAAAATATGTTGAAAGTTGTTCATCACGTAAAAGCCATTCGATCTAAAATTCAATTTTTTTTTTTTTGTAAATCAATTAGAAAAATAATTTGATCTTCTGAGAATGAAGTTTTAACTAAATTTATTTAAATACAATCGAGATTAATAAGAAAAGTTAACTTTTCTAGGAGATTATATAAACGAATTCACTTTTGTTTTCTATAGATAAATATTTATATAAATTTCTTTTCAGATAAATCTTACTTTATCAGGTAGACTATCAGTACTGTGTAACCTGGTTCCTTTTTTTTGAATGATAATTAATTTAGTAAAATTTTCAATACAATGCTTTGCTTGCTCCCTTTAAATCATCCTTAACATTATAGGACGATTTTCGAGTTCCAATATTGTATAAATAAAGTTCTTTATCAAAATAGAAGACTTGTCATTATCTCCTATCTTCAGCTAAGAGATTATGCTGAATCTTATACTTGCACAACGAACAAATCTCATTAAAAATCTTATTTGTGCAAAAAACTGAAGTCGAAACTTCAAGATCAAAGTTTGAAAGTGTTACGAATTATTTTAGTCTTTTTCAAACCTCAAGAGAACATATCCAATGAGCTAAGATTCACCTTTTAAATGATTTGTCACTTAGAAAAACTCTTGCGTAAATTAATCATAAGTTTTATGGTGATTTTATGAGTCAAAACCGGTTAAACATATTATGTAATCTACTGTAAATTATTGTACAAACCAACTGCATAGATTTTTTTTGAATGTAATGCTCTTCGCCGAAAACAAGATTGTCGAAAACTCACATCGCCGACTCGACGTGGAAATTCACCGTAAATTTCCACGTCGAGTCGGCGATGTGAGTTTTCGACGATCTTGTTTTCGGCGAAGAGCATACTTACCTTTTTTTTTCTCAATTAACATTCTTAACTCTATAAAAAGATTCTTTGACTATCTTTGAACGAAACATAACTATAATACACTTCTCACTATATAAATACTAGTCTATTAAAACCATTTGTTTCACTAAATTTAATCAATCAATTAAATTTTATTATTACAAACCTCTCGTCGACATGAAGAAATCGCACGTCTTTGTGCATCAGATAATCGAAGTTTATCCAAAGGATGTCTATTTAAATATTTCATAATATAAATAAAATATTTCTATGTTTTGGTTTTTAATCTTTAAATAACTCACTTATTTAATTCTCCACCCATAGTTGTGCCAGTACAAGTACTGGTATTATCAATAGCCTCAATAGCACTTAATTCTTGAAATCGTTTTGCTGATAAATATGCATTATTAAATGTTGGTGTATTTGTTGTGATACCACCCATATTAGTACCTTGTGAATCAACATCTTCACGTCCAAATGTTAAACAAATTAAACCAAATGAAACACGTAAACTATCATCATCGAGATTTGTTTCACATTCATTTGTAACTAAATTACCTTGAAAACGAAAAAAGAAAAAAAATAAAATAAAATAAAATCAATTAAATACATATGTTAGATTTATTTTTCTTACTTATACATAGTGGAATAGTTTTAACTTGTGTATTACAATCAAAATCTTTTGTAACTAATCGACAATCAAAAAGAATAAATAATGGCAAAATTTCACCTCGTACACATAAATCTCTTGAACGAGTTGATAATGAACTTGACGATACATCTGAACGACGACGATTTGTTGTTAATTGTAATTCTGGATCTTCATCATCATTATTATCATGTATATGAACAGTTCCATTACTATCTCGATCATCGTCATCATCATCAATTTCATGATCATATCCATTTGTTTCATCAAATTGGTATGGTCCTGATGTTGATTGTAATTCATTATTATTATTGTTATTATTATTATTATTATTTGTACTATTATTATTATTGTTGTTGTTGCTGCTGCTGTTATTATGTGTTAAACGATCTTCTAGTTCAATTGAATTACGACTTTGTCGAAAACGTTCTTCATCAGTACAATAATAAAAATAATCCGAATCAGGTGATACACGATGAAAAAATTTATTAATTATTTCAAGAAATTTTGCATTTAAATAAGAATTGATATGTTTTGTTGTTGGTTCACAAAGAGTATCAAGTTCTAATAATCTGTAAAAAAAATAAAATAAAAAGTATTCTTATTTTTTTTCAAAATTAAACATTTTTTTTTTTATTTGTTTTACTTTTCTTCATTATTTGATAAATGTGAACACATTGCTCTAAGAAATGGTGTCAAATCAATATCTTCATAATGTTCTTGATAGATTGTATTTAATGCATAGTCAACATCTGAACGATTTGTTGTTAAATCAAGTAAACAATTTTTATAAAATGCTAAAAAGAAAAAGATGAATATAATTTAATAACAAAAAATTTTTACCTGTTGCAAAAGCATAATCAAGTGAATCACGCATATCTTCAATTAATTTTTCAGGAGGAAATGCTATATCATCGTCATGTCGACGAGAATTATCTAATAATAAGAAATATTGATTAATTTGTTATTTGAAACTCATTGAAGACGCAATAGAACAGAGTTTTTAATTAATATGATACTTATAAAGCATATTTTTCATTGAATATAAAGAAATATCTAAATATTCGTATCGACATAAGTTTCTTATTAAACAATTACTACATTTTATATAAAATGTTAGATGAGTTTTTCGTAATAATACATTCTATATTAAGTTTTCGTCGATGAACTACAACGGCAAGATTTCTAAAAAGCCGAAGATGAAATAGTATGTAGATCTTAGAAGACTTTGATAGAGCTATATTTTCACAATGTCGCTTTAAAGAGCACAAAAATTGGAAGAAAATGAGAGAGCGCTTCATTTCTTAAAAATTTAAAAGTATGCCAAAAATCATAAAACGACTGAAATTGACTAAACAATATCGTTTCTCAGTTTTTTACGACGTTTTTAACATTTTAAGGATAATTCGTAAAAAATACGGCGACCCCTTTATTTTGTTTAGACTTTTGTGCTTTTTAGAATAGCATTATTGAAATATAGGTCTGAAAAATTCTTTTACAAATTTTGCGATCGTAGTTTATCAACAAAATCTTAGTATAAAAAACTTTATTGGTTATTAAAATCACTATCTGGATTTGTCCTAATTCCATAATATATTGTTGTTTAGCTTTTTTTGCTACTTTAGTCTCTATGAAACTGATAAGAGTAAATTTTGATCTTTTATTTGGCACTAGCCATTTAACTATAGTATCCTATGCGAATTTCATTTTTTTTATTAGGCGCAAAGTGTAAAAATAAATTCTAATTTTCGTTTACATTAAGAAAACATAGTACGTACTCGCTTTATTTTTTAACTAGATAAAATATTTATTTTCATTTATTCATATGGTTATATATCCACGAATGATTTATTCTGTATTGACATCGAAACGTAATTTTCGAAAGAATTTTTATAAACAAATGAATTAGCTTTTTAAAAATTTTCGAAATAATCAAGTTCAAGAGACAACTGTTGTTCATCTATCTATCACAGAAAGTACACATGCTCAAAAAAAAACCTTCATTCTTGTTCATTTGAACATCACATATTTATAGCTTATATGTCACCTATGAACTAAGTTACATTCGAAGATTTACCTAATACATATACATTGACTAAATGATTTTTAATGTATAATAAAATATAAATATGATATTTGAAATATTGTGTATAGAGAAAAAAAAACTTGCATCTTACAGAAATATTTGTTCTTTTTTGTTGATTCAAACCTGTTTATTCAGTGTATACATTGGTTAGATAAATGACTAGTAATAAATAGAAGTCAAAAAAAACATGTATCAGTTTCTTCTATAGTATTATTTTATATAAAATATATTCATTGTTTAATTATTTTGTTTTTCTCGTTTTAAATAAAACTCAAATGGAAAATGTTTTAATAACAAAAAAAATAGTAGACAAATTTAGTTGAAAATTTACTTAAGCTAATTAAACTAATTTCTAGATCTTGTTTGCCTTTCTAGACGATCTATGTTTAGATTACTATTAAAAATGAGATCTAATGTATATATTTCTAGTTGTACCTCGTTTTCGAGGTTTTAAATTTGGTAATACTGTTGTAGTTGTCGTTGTTGTTCCATTTGTTGATTCATTATCATCTTTAGTATAATCAATATAAGTATCACACCAAAGATTTCTCGATTGTTGTTCATTAGATGATAGTAATGATGATGCTAAACGTAATTTATTACAACCATATAAAAATATTGGAATATGCCATTGATGTTCAAAGATTTTTTTCAAAGCATCACGTGATAACATTTCTTGCGGTGATGGTGGAATAATGTGAAATGAAGGTGGAACTTGAAGACCATGATGATGAGGATGAAGGTGAGGATGAGGATGAGAATGAGAATGAGAATGAGGATGAGGATGGGGATGAATAGATGGTGATACAACAGCTGATGCTGAATAACGACGATGTAATGGATCAATATGTGATCCGTTATTGGTATCAACTGTTAGTGGAGAATATATACGACGATAACCTGTAGTTGTTGGTTGAGAAGATGCGTGATGAAAATTTTGAGATAGAATATGACTTATAGGAATTGGTGATGAAGACGGTGTAGTTCTATCATTGGTCAATGATGAATGTGTACCATGAGGTACTACTAAATCAGCTGACGTAAATGTATCTCGACGTGCACGACGTCGTTGAGCATTTTTACCTAAAAGAGCAAAATATTAGTTTTATAAAAATGTAATTCGAAACTTTTTTATGACTAATCCAAGAGTCTCTAATATGATATAATTGAGAAGTTTAAAGTATACATGAAAACAAGTTTTATCAATATTGATTGTTATTGAAGAAAATGGCATTGAGAAAAATGATTGAGTAACAAACAAATAACATGATTTTGTTGTGCTTCTATTCACTTCAAAATGTGTAGACATCTTTACAATGCAAGATAAAAATGTGAAGGTTAAGCTTTTGTTATACTTTGAATTGTGAATGAAAAAAAACTTTTTCTAACCCTTACGTTACCGTAGGAAGCTTTTATGTCACTCTTTCTTAATCCTACACTAGTTGAAAGACTCGAAAAATGACAAATATGGTTAGAGAATGTGTCGGATAAGCTTTTTTTCGCACTCTATACCTTAGCTGAGAGAAATTGTTTAACCCCCCTACCCTGTTGAGTAGGGTAAAACTTTTCATTTCTAATACAAGAGTACAAATACGTCTTTCTCGAGAAATGAAAATTATCCAATCATATCAATGATTTACTAGATAACTTAATACTGCTCGAATGTATTTCCTATATTGAACTAATTAGTAATGATGATTTCATTTTTCACTAACTTGTTTGATCTTCATTAGCTTGATTCTGTGATTTATCCATTGTGGACAATAATGATAATGATTCCAGATTCTGTTCAATGGCATCCATTAAACCATCCATAACAAAACGACAATCATCATAAATAGGCATTCCTTGATCAATATGATTCATTGAATAATGAGCAATAAGATCATGCATAAGTATATTTAAATCAGTATTTAATAAAAGTAAATCACGTTCACTTTTTGGTAATAATATCATATAAACATATTCATCACTTTCAGCACAAACAAGAAAATCCCAATGTGGAAATAACATATCAGTAAGATAATGTTCAAGATCAGTTAATACTTTAGTTGTTTGTTGTTGTTGTTGATTATAATTTAATAAATAAAGTAAATATGGATTTGATTTTAAAGTATTTAAACCAATTGGTAAACGATGTGTTTTTGAATGATTTGATCGTGATATTAATATACGTGTAAATGCATTATTATTATCATTAAGTTCAGTAAATAATTGTGGTTTAATTTCATATGTTTTTGAACAAAGACGTTCACGAAGTACACTAAGTAATGTTGAATTAAGACTTGGTGATACAAGTGAACCATTATTATTGATATAATCATGTTTTATTTTAAAATAATCTAAATAAAAGAAAAAATAAATATGTTTAATAATTTTTCTTTTGTTTCGTTTGTTTACCATCAATAAAAGCAGAAAAATCAAAATGAGTTTGATGTGAACGACGTATAAGATTAATTGTATCTTGAATAAATGGTACTCGAATTACATCAGATGTTAATGCTCGTGGTGCACGTAATACAGGTCTATTTTAAACAAAAAATAGCAAATGTATTTCATTAATAAAAAACAAAACAAAAATCTACTTTGTCAAAGATAAACTTCGTTCTTGTAAATATTTGACGAAATAGAATGAAACAAGTGTATTGAAACATTCTCGATCAACTTCACCGATCTAAATATTTCATAGATAAATTTACTTGAATATTAAGAAATCGTATCTCTAATAAAATTCATAATGACACTTCAATCATTGTTTTTTTTTTTTGATCTATCAAATTTCTTATGCTGATAAAATGATGTCTGAAGTGTATGGAACTAGATTATATCAATCAAAATAATTGTTAGTATTTTTGTTTTTACTATGAACAACAATGAAAGAGACATATGCCCATTTAGAATAATTTAACTTAGATTAGAATATTTTGCATATGAAAACAATGATTTGAAAAATGAAACTTCAATAAGATTTAAGACAGATAATATTCTTTTATTGGATCATTTTCTTTACGTATTTGGATAGAATATCCTTTCAATTATCTATCAATAGTAGTACATCAGACAAATAAAAGTATCTTGAAATAAATCAAAATTCAATTTTATTTTCTATTAATAGAAGTATTAGTGAATAATTCTTACTTATTAAGATTAATGAAAAAATTTTCATTACGACAATTGATTTTATAAACTAAGAGAATCCATCAAAATATACAATTCCGTAATATTTATAAATTATTTATTTTTTTTTGTTACAAAACAAAAAAGAAAAACTTCGAAATTAAGTTCTATTAAAAAATTAAAACGAAACAATTTTTTCAATTGAATTCTGTATTTTTTTCGTTTGATTCTATTGATATATATATATATACATATATAGATAAACGAATCTTTTTGATATGAAATGATACTAAAATAAAATTGATTGATATAAATCTTTGAATCATGATAATAGAAGCCATAAATATGTATTGCTCTTCATTTGTCAGAATGATGAAGCCATTAATATATTGACTAAAGAACAGTCGTTTACTTGTGCATAGTCATCATTACAATTCATCATCATCATCATCATCATTATGATTATCATCATCAATAAAAATAAGAAAAAGATGATATGAACGACTACAAAGAAGTGGAGGAGTTGAATCTCACCAATTGCTGGTGTTCAGGGTGAGACGAACTGCTCCACTTAGTCGAGTCGAGTACGCAAATAGAGGAAAAAAACATAATTGTAAATATAATATAGCAAAAAAAAACAACATTGGAAGCCTAAAAAAACAACAAATGGGTCGATTCGCACGCGATAAGGTTTGCTCTATTCGATCATTATTATGATCAAGCTCAAACTTACGAACGAACGGCTGTTGTTCTCACTCAAGAACGTGAAGAGTAATCAGAAAAAAAAAAAGAAGAAGAGAGAACAAGGAAGAGTCGTAACATAGATTGCCGCCTTCATTTACCACTTTTTTCTTCGTTTTTTTTTTTCGTTCGTCTGGATGTGCTTTTGTTTTCTCCCTGAACTTTACAGCTGTTGATAATCTGTTCGTGTGTATGTATGCTCGCGTAAAACGTGCTCTGTAGCGAAATTTGACTACACATATAACACGAAGAACGATGAGGGAATTTCGAGTGGAGCGTGCAAGAAACTCAATCTGAGCTCGATTCTTTCTCTCTTTCTTTTTCTTGTTCGTTTTCGATCATCGAAGGAGGGAAAGTAAAGACAAATTGTGCGTATAACATAAAAAAATATATATATATACATCGTCAATATAAAATTAGAATTTGATTTACTATTACTCCTCCCTGAACAATGTCATGATAAGAAAGAGACTGTCTATTATACTTGATGCTTTGAAAACGAATGGAAGAATAAGATAAAGAAACAAGAATGATTCTAATTGAAAAAAAAAGGCAATGATATAAGGGAAAAAACAACGAAGTATTAAAAACTGATTGAGTTTGAATTGTACTTGAGCTCTCGGCTTAGTTTTAAAGGTCATATAATATAACAAAGAATATGAGACTTACAATATATATATATATAAATACGTATATACATATGTATATAAAGAATAATTGATGATGATGACTAGTGACTTATTGATATGAGCTGGAAGAATATAGATCTGGCATCAGAAGACATCTATGCGAAATCCATCTTCCAGCTCATATACAATTAAGTGAAAATGAAAATTTTTCTATTTATAATGTTGTAGCATGTTTGACGAATAAGAAAAAAATGAATATATGAAAATTTGCTTGTTGTAAACTGCTCATTTTATATACGAAACAAAAAGAGATGATAAGAGAGAAAAAAACGCGAGAGTCAAATATATTCGACGGGTATGCGTATTGGTCGAAAAATTCTTCTTCGCGTTTTTTTTAGTTAATGCAAACATTGTTATCCGTTTTCGTTATGTTGACATATGTTTAAAGACAAAAAAAGAGAGAAACTTTGACGACAAATGTCTTATCCAAGAAACGAAAGATAAAAGTCGAAATTCAAGTGTTTCTATGCTTACAAACAGGTACCTTTTATCCCAAGGAGAAGAGAGCTCAAAGATAATGATGATAATGATGATGATGATGATGATGATGATGAAATGAAAGGAACCGACATAGTTAGTAGATGAATTCAGAAAATTTCTTTGCTAAAATCAAACTTTCGATAAGAAGAATATATGGTTATGAAATCCGCTTATTTTTCAATAATCAACGATTGATATGTACTATCTTTAATGTTTGATATTTTATAGAAGTGAAAAAATTTCTCACATACGTAAGAGATAAACATGTATATTATTGTTTATTCACTTCCATTAATGAGTTAAGATGAAAAATATTTAGTTACATCATATTAACTTTAGACTTTGTATATAGATGAGTCAAAAAATGATAATCATTTTGTTTTTATATTCTTTTGTTTTTTTTTCAAGTACTTTAATTTTTCATATCTATCTACTGTTTGTATTAAGTAAACATACATATACTTGTCGTTTGTAGGTTGTTTTAAACTACTATACAAAAGAAATGATGATTGACATGTTCATACTCGAGATTATTAAGAAAAGAAATAGTTATATTTTTGTTTTCTATTGAAAAATGATCTATGAACTAACCTTATCAACAATTTGTTTGTAAGTGCATTGATTAAGAAATTCAAGTTCAGGACAATTAGTATCAACAAAACCATCTTGTGGTTCAACCCAACATTGAGTTAGAAAATAATAACATGTTGGTTGATCACAATAAATACTTGATGAACGTCGTAATGACATTGAACGATTTTCATGTGAATGATTTCTAATAGAGATAAGAAAAGAACTTTGTTAATGATCAAATGTTATAGAAATGACTCAAAATATTCTTACGTATCATTTAAACGACCACATTCAACTGGATAAATTCTATATTGTACAAGACATGTTCGTGCTCTTTCATCAGGATAGAAATTAATATCGGAATTTAATCGAAATATATCTTTTGAGTATTCTTCTTTTGGTGTCTGAAAAAAAAAATTACTTTCCATAAATAAAAAAAGACAAATTCATCATTATATACAAATGCATACATTCATTTTAACTTCAAGAACAAGATTATGAATATTATTATGTGTTGCTACAAAGTGAAAACCTTCTTGAAGTCGTCGTCTAAATATATAAAAATAATTTATTTAAAAAACAATATAATTGATTTTATATCTAACCTTATAAATGTATCAAGAATAATATCTGCTATACGTTTAGGAATATTTGATGAATGTTTGATACTTTCAAATGAACGTACAAATGTACGTATATAAAAAAATTTTGATAATGCTTGTCGTTTTGAATCTAATTCTGTTCGATGTTTATGTTGTATATCATCATCATCAAGTTTTGGAATACCAAGTGATTCATATGGAAATGGATCTGGTCTGAAGAAAAAAAACATGTTTTATTTTTTGTAAATAATTCTCTTAATTGATTTCAAGAAGAAAATTACTTAAGCATTAATCGTTCAATATTTTTATTTAAAACAACACAACATGGTGTTGTATTTCGTGGATGAATTGAAAGTGTTGACGATGTTAAGGATCGTTGATTATTATTATTACTACTACTACTATTATTAGATGAAAGAGGTGTTGATGTTTGTTGTTTACGATTATTTTCATTAGGATTTCCAGATTTCATTCGTGAACGTGGACGAAGACGAATAAGATTAGAACGAAAATCTTCCATTATCTAAAGAAATAAAATTTCAAAAAAAAGAAAACTGTCAAATACATTATTTTTTTTAAATATTTTACTCTATGCCGTTCAACAGTTGTTGCTTTTGCTTGAAAAGCAAATTTAAGATAGAGTAACGGAGGTTGTCCCATAATACGTAACAACATAAAACTATATGGAATACCTTCACTATTATCATGTATAAGAAATTTAATATAAGCTTGACCGTCAAGAAGAACAAAAGAAAAATATTCAGATAAAAATGATTCGAAATCATTTTTAGCTATACGACATGAAACTGTCGAATGTTGTTGATTATGTGATTGTGATAAATGATTATTCATAAGAAATAATGAATTTGAAAGTGGATCATTTACTAAGATCATTGTTAAATTATGTGTATACATAAAACGTTGCCTATAGAAATAAAAAAAAAAGAAGATAAGTAAAATAAGATATATTTTTTTGTACCATAATGATCCGTCAAGTATAACGATCGGACGCCAAAAATCAGCAAATGTTTGAAGATCTGTATCTCTAGAATAGAAAAAAATTTTTTTTTTAGCATTACATAACGATTAAAAACAAGATCAAGAATGTTTGTCATTTGACTTATTCGAACTTCTAACAAGATTACATGCGAATATTTGTTATTTGATATGAATGAAAATTATTTTACTATTTTTAATTTTATGTTCAATTATAATAAGTATTAGTCTAATCAATCTTAAAAATGTTTGTGTTGATAGATTTGATAAATTTCAATTAGGTTTATACCAATGCCAGTCGCTCTTGGAACTGGTGTATCCATAATTTTAATAGATTGATTCATTATTTAAAGTTTCTAATTTTCTAAAGACTTACTTAACATTTAAAAGTGTTTGTTGTAAATCATTTTGTGTCAGATAAAAAATAGATTTTCCACGTTTAATTGTTTCAGGTACACGATAATAAGATGGATCTCGAGCAAAAGTATTAATTAGTGTTAAATGTCGATCAGCTACTGAGACACTAAAAAAAATATTTCAAATATCTTATAGAAAAATTTTATACTTAAATAAAAAGAAAATCCTACGTTTGTATAACATCATTATATCGTCGAATAAGATTATTACGCATAATATTAATAGTTTTTGATGTATGACTATAAGATAATTGATTTAATTCTTGAAGAAAATAGATTGGTGCTTCTTTATAAACTCGTATATCTGTTCTTATACTATTTTCAAGTGGCCACAAAGAACGAGCTGTATAATAAATTTGAATATCATAATGCCATGGTAAAACAAGATGAACTTCAATTTCATCTAAAGTAATAAGTTTTAGAATAAGAAAATGATATAAAATAAAAAAATAGACCTTTTTGTATTTGAACACGTCGAATCGTATAACCTTCACGTAAACGTAAAGAAAGAACATTTTCTAATGATGTTTGAAGAACAGTTTGATTAACTAATTTACATGATATGGGTAAACATATTGCATTTAATTTACTAAAATAAAGAAAAATAAAATTTAATTCAATCATTTAATATGAATCATCTTACCTATTTCGATTATTATCATCATTAATACTATATGATCCATTTGATATTCGTTTTGATAATGATAAATTATGTTCACCAACAGCTTTATGAAAACCTAAATTAAAGAAAACAAAGAATCTCTATTTATTGAAATAGAAAAAAAAAACTTATTTGAATTTTACCCCATGATAAAAGTTCATTTTGAAATTCATTTATTCTTTTACAAACATTTAATAATTCATATTCACGAGAAGATAAACGTGTTAATAATGTTAATTCATCACAACTAATATTATCAACATCAAAATATATAAATGAACCAAATGTTGATAGACTAATAAATTTTAATAATTCTTCATTTGGTACATGTCCTAGACTAGCTATAGGTGCATTTAAAACTTTATTATTTGTTGATTGTTGTTGATTATTATTTGAACCAATTTGAACAAATGAACAACTTATTATACGTGCTCGAATTTGTCTCATAACAACTTCAAATGCTGATAAATTTGGTACATCAAGTATACCATCGGTTATAATAACTAATGCTGGTATTGATTCTTCAGGCATTAATTGTAAAGCTGTTATACCATAACTAAGCATATTTATAATAGCACATGATGATTCACTATTTGAATAAATTGTATTTAGCTAGAGAAGAAAAATAAAATAAAAATATTAAATTTTGTTTTATTTTGTTTTTTTAGTAAATGATAAAAATTTTACATGTGAATTGATATTATCATCGGAATCCATTGTAGACGATATTGACTGTTTATTAAATGTTTGATTAATACTCATGACATTATGTAGAAGTTCAGTAGCTTCTTTTAAATTATTTATTATGTCATGACAAACATTTTTTAATGTTGACCATGTTAATCGATATCCTTTTTGTTTAATAGAAAAAAAAGTACAAAACAAAATATTATTTTCTAGATTTTTGTTTTTTGTTTTTTCTCTCTTTACCATGAATCAATACTTGATGACTTGGTGTACGATGTAATGGAAAATAGACATAAACAGATATATCTATTTCAGGTTGAAATTTTAAATCACAACCTGGTAATGTAAATGTTTGAGCAAGAGAAAACAAAAGTATACATAGACAATTTGTTAATGATTCTAAATAGATATGACCACCATCAATAGATACTGACGCACATGAATCAGTCATATCAAGAATGAATGCAAATTTATAACGTGTTGTAAAATAAGAAAAACGTGTTGAACTAGTGCAAAGAATGTTTGATGATGGTGGTATTGGTGTACCATTATCGTCTACGGCCGAGACAAGGACAATTTCATCCGATGATTGTGTCTTAAAAAAAACGAAATTTTTCATATATAAGTATATTTATTTAATTAACTAACAATTTCCTCTGATGTTGGAATGCGCACTAGATTTGATGGAGATGCAGCAATCTGTTGAAACTGCCAAAGAGCTCGAGTATTTCGTGAAACTCGATAATTTCGACGAAGAAATGCATATACCTGACTGGCATGCGTTGGTGTCGGCATATAAATCTTAAATAATATAAAAATAGACAAACATATGACGCACTTTTTAACACTTCATAATTTTCATATTATAAAGATACAGAAAAAAGGCACAGATTCATTTATTTATCTGACATCCGCTACATCAAACCAATATGATGAGTCTTTGCTCCGTATTTTACTCGTATTGATACAAGACTATGTAAACCATCTGTAGGTGTCGGTAGTCGTCAGTGGATTAATACTCTTCTCTTTCGACTACGACAAGAAAAACATATGAGCAATGGTTCCACCAGATTTGATTTTTTCCTGTAACGCATCTTTCTACTAAAAGAAAACCGACCTAGATAAAAATCCATAGTGAAAAATGATTAACATTTTTGCTTCAAGAAAAAAGAAAAATCAATCTTTATAACAAGAAAACATCTATAATATTCATTAAACAAGAGTCAACAATAGTTCAGTTGGAAATCCAAATTTCTTTGTAGGCCTTTATTCTATATATTTATTTTTTTTTGTTTGAGGAGCATGTCAAAATTCAGGGCATGATAAGACTTTTTTCTTAAAATACTTACATTTCATCCCGAGAAAAGTGATGAGAAGTTCAATAACTGAAAAAACTCGAAAAAGGTATTTAGAAAAAGGTAGATTTTCGAGATTTTTTTAAAAATTCTTTTGATTTATTGAAATTCTCATCACTTTTCTCGAGTTGAAATGTAAGAATTTGAAGAAAAAAGTCCTGTCATGCTCTAAATTTTGACAGATTTTTTTTCAAACAAATAAATATAAAATAAATATATAGAATGAAGGTCTACAGAGAAGTTTGGATTACTGAATGAGCTATAATTGACTCTTTTTTGGTGAATACCTTCCGCAAACGTCATGTTATAGGACTAAAAATCTCATACGATTTGCATGTGTCTGGATCAAAATCGATTTTGAGGAAGAGTAGGGATAGTCTCAAATGTTCGAATCCTTTTTGGACTACTTGTATATAAAAGAGTAATGCAAAAGTTCCTATACAAATGTCGGTTCATTATATAATTGGCAAAAGCATGTATAGATAAACTCAAAAGTACTTGTACAGAATTTAGGTCGAAAGCTCTTTCTAACTGCATGTTTAGAAAAAGTTCTCTTATATCTTATCTTTCAGTAGGAGTTGTGATTGCTTTCAGTTTCTTTCATGAGTTGGTGTTTATCTTTCTTGTATTAGACTACCGTCTGTATACTCGAATAAATCATGTAGAAAATACTGGAATTCTTTGAGATAATATTAAGATAACTCATCTTCGGATCTTTGACGATTTTAAGATTGATGTTGGTATTATTTTGCTTGTTGTTCGACTTTGTCATTGCTAATTATGAGCTCCGACATATTCGTAGAGCGGATATCTCGAGTCATTGGTAGCCATCATTTCATCTAGTTTTATCAAAAAGGGCGTCATTCGAATCTTGAAAACGTTTATTGGCTTTCCATCATTTTCATATTCTTCAGTTTTGACCTTATTTGTTACATCATTGTTTGCTAAATTGTTGATTGCATCATCTAATGTGATATCGTATGGTTTTCTATTAACTTTGCAGAGAATTGAACGGCATATCTAACGGGAAAAAGAGCAGCACCAGACTAACCATAGCATTGAACAGCATGAAAAATACTGAATGTTTTTTTTCATTTTCACTACTTTGTGCTGTTATAATAAAACATGTGCGTCCTCCGCTATTCGATGCTACTCCATTAGCATGAGTTTATTCATTGGTATTTTAAAAATGTTACTTACTCATCATTTGTCTATATTATGTTTCATTATCTTTTCTATATATATCACAATATACAACACATAAGCAGTCGTTCTCGACAACAATACTTTAATAAATACTTTGGTTTTCTCTTTCTTACTGTTTTAACTCAATATTAACTGTATTGCAATTATTTTTATCGGTTAGTTTATTATTTTCATTTCACTAAAAATTTTGTATTATAATTTAGAATAAACTAATCCATGAATAAGCTAAAGATCAAAAAGTCTTTTAGGTCTTTTATTTGCATTGGCACATATTTTTATATTCATGTTTTTTTCTAATTTAAAATGTAAAAGACCACAAACATAAAATGAATTCAATATTACATGGCAAGTGAATCATTTTCAAGACAATAGTTGTATTCATCTATTTTACTTACTTTGAGACAAATGTTGAAAGTTTGTTATTTAGTCTGGGACTAACTGCCAGATAAATATTTCTCACTATAATAATGTCTAACTATTCACTGAAGTCTTAGTAAAGCTGACAAATTGGTTATTTAATAAGAGGTCACAAATTTATTGAACAATAATCAGCATAAGTTGGAGCATATATCTTGTTTATTTCGTAGTTACAGTTGACAGTTTGATTATACGTTTGGTAATCACAAGTAAAATGAATGTTTATTACGATAGATTTATCCACTAGTGTAGTTCTTTTTTAAAGGAAGTTTTTAAACGAATCAGATGATCAAGAAACACGTCAAAAATGAATATTTTTTAACATAAGTCAATTCACATATATAATTCATTTCGTAACAAAGAAACTAAACGTACTCAAGAATACAAGATCATATACAAAATGAATATTTCTAATCAAAATTGTATTCATTTACGTTGCTCGCTTCTCAACATTGACTATTTTTTTGTCATCTGGTTGAAATTTCAATGATATTTTAACGGTCACAACGACAAGTAAAATGGTTTCATGGATTAATTTTGTATATCCATGAATACTAATGTTGAGTTGACCATATCTCAGAAGAACATGCAACAAATGAATAATTGTAACCATCGCTTTGTTCAACAATTTTTCTAACTTTGCAGCAGAAATTCTATTTTATGAATTGATTGAAGAAATTAATAGGCAATTAAATGATATTAATCATAGTTTTATTTATCAATGGTTTTTATCGAGAATCAAAGTTTCGAAATAGTTATTAGATTTAAGATCTTTTAGTAAATGAATAATTTTAACGAACATTCCGTTCTATAGCGTCATTTATTTGAATGATAAAATATCATATTTGTCAATTAATCGAGAATCACATAAAATATGAATAATCATAACGCAAGTTTTGTTTCTTGTTCACATTTACAGTGACGCGAAAGTTATACGTCATTCCATCGATTGAAGATAGTATGGCAAATGAATAATAATTTTCCAATCTTTACAATGATTTCATTGATGAATTTTATTTTCTGTTGAATACAAGTTATCCTTTGATTAGCTTATTGTAGATCACACGCTAAGCGAAAAATAATCAAAATAGTTTCATTCATATTTTACATTGATTTTGAAAGCGAATATCCAATTGAAATAGTATACATACAGAACATAGTTGATGAAAAACTAATTACCAATAGATTCGTCCATCTATTTTGTGGATTTCACAGGAAAAGTTTCTAATTAGATATTTAAAGAGTTAATATGGTAAAAGAGTAACATGAATCACAATTATATTCAACTATTTCATTCTACTGTGACCAAATGTGCTCCAGATGAGTTGCTATATTGAAAATCGAGTGTCAATTGAATAAACTGAACGACATTTGCCAAAATTTTGTTCATCTATTTGGATTACTTTACATCAACAAGGTTGCGTAAGTTAATTGAACAAATATCATATGCAATATATGAATTGCCATTACATTTATGACATGGTCGACCACCAAGATTATTTTCAATTATTTCATTCATCTCAAGGCAAAATAGTTTGCATTGATTTCCTATGGAAAGTTTACATAGAACGAGATTACTGATAACAAGAATTTTGTTCATTTATTTGACTATTGAATAGGCAAGATCTTAGATTAGTCACTTGATCAGAAATCTTATATAAAACGATTAACTCTTAGGTGGTTGTTTTCGAGAGAAGATTGCACCTGTTGCTTCGTCCTCTAGATATTGCTGTCGCTGTTGGATTCCAGCATAAGTTGACTTTTCTTCAACATAAATAAGTTGACTCCAAACAATTCGATCACTTTGTTCTGTATGCAGTTCAATCGTCCATGGTTTAGCTAATTGTTTCAATTCATGATTAAATTGATGGATAATGTATTTCAAACGTGTTAAATCATGTTCAACAAAATTTTCTGTTTCTTTTAAATGAATTAATTCTTGTGAAAATCTCTTGAAATCATTACTTAATTTAACTCGTTTCGAATTTAATAATTGAGCAACTTGTTGACGTGTATGTTCCGCTACTAGATTTACTTTTTCAGTCATCATTTTTTGCCATTGGTCAATTTGTTCAAAAAGTGGCCCATATAAATCATCCTTTTGTATTGCTGTATTAATTTTATCTTGAAATTCGTTACGATATTCAATAAGTACATCCATTTCATCAGATAAGGTACTCCGATGACTTTTGAAATCTTTCGTACAAAAATAAACTCCACATCCGGTGCAATAGCTGGTTCCAAGTTCTTTTTGACACACCGAGCATCGATTTATTGTTTTTGTCATGACTAAAAACATTACAAATACGGTGTTATTCACACTATGAATAACAGTTCAAAATAAAAAAAGCTTTAAAAGACGTTATTACAAAGATAAAATAAGAAATTGTACTCTACTAATCAATAAACAGATCATTGCCGTATATATCGGTTTATAAAACTATATCAGTTGGATTTATTACTTAGCTATGATCGTTTTATTTCATAATGATTTACAAAATACGATCATAAGTGAATATTTTTCATATTATTGAAAACTAAAATTAAACGTTCTCAACTTGATTAACAACATCTTTTAACGACTCACTAGTATGCATACATAGTTCTTACCTATTTTGATAGTTCGAAGATAAATTTGTTGTACGTTTGTTTTGACTTGCTAAGGCAAAGAAAAACGAACAATAGATTCACTTTTCTTTTTATAATAGAATCAACAAGAGAAAACAAAGAAATTTAATTTCAACTTTTTTTTTTCTTTCACAATCCTTACTTTGATGATAGAGTGCCGAATATGACACTTTTTTGGTTGCATACTATGGTAACACATATCTCTCCAAATCAACAACAACATATAAGTGATAACTTAGAAATATAATATGACAACATTATGATCTAAGATTACTAGCAGCCAATCATTCAAATAGAAACCTTCAATTAAATCAATACAATTCAGGGCTGGCCCGACTGGGAGTTGTGACAACCCCCCCCCCCCCCAATAATCGAAAATTTTTGTTTTTCTTCAGCGAAAACGAAATTTTTTTCTTAAGTTCTATTAGAAAAAAATTTTATTCGTATTACAAAAATCCGAAATAACCCCCGAAAAAATCGCGACAACCCCCCCAATGTTTGCTGCCTCGGGCCAGCCCTGATACAGTTACTTACTATCGTTCGATCTAAAAAAAAATAACATGAAGCGAATCAAAATATGAAAAAGCACGTATAGTTGAATGGATGTGAATAAACATTGGTTCACTTTAAGATTGATGTACTGAATTAAGAATTAATTGCAGAGCAATATATTTTTTTTTGTGTGTCGGTTTTTTTATTTTCAATTTTCATTGCTCATTATACAGAAAGAAGCAGAAGACATTCATATTGTTCGATTGCTATCTGTTTCATCGTTATGAAATTATGTATTTCTTTTATACGAATGAAAATTATGTCGATGTCTTCGTTCTTTTGTTGTAGCAATATCTTGTAGATTTAAAAAATTCAAATGCAGACGATTCTATTGTAACAGTTGTTAAGACAGGACTGTACTGCAGTTTTAATGTATACATTGATATTATAATTTGTAGTTTCTTGTCTTATGTTACTTCATACGTCTTAAGCTTCTTCTAAATTTGATTGACTTGAGTTAACACGGATTTCATTCTTGTTGGTTGAAAGATAACTTCTGCGACAACAATATGCATATCAACATTGATCGTTTACAAATTTCGAATAAATCTTATTTAAATATTCCTAAAACAAACATAGGAAAAGAAGAATTATCAATCATAACATTACTTCAGCGTCTTGTTTTGCTTTTAATGTCTTTCTAGCAAGTCATTGTAATAAGTTTTGAAGCATTCTTTGATTTCTGCAGTTGACTTTGAAACCTTCTGTCGAACCAGGTCTTGTTTTGTTTGAAACAATAATTCGAATGAATGATATTGTTGCGAAAGTTGAGCTATATTGTGCAGTAATACAATGATATGATTATGCATACAATTAGCACATAATGGCATTGAACAAAGTTTAGACTCGACAATTGTTCCTTGTGTTGTTTCCATGTAGTTCCTTCTTTTAAATGCTACAATAGAAAAATTTCTATTGATGTAAAATTATTTTTATTTATGTGAATCAAGAAAAAAAAAAGCATCCTGTAAAAAATAAGGAAGTCTATCAATTCTGTTCTTTCCGTTCTATGTTATTTAGAAGGATAATCTTAACTATGCTTCACATACATTGTGTCATTCTTAGTATATTTTTACCTGTCTTCTCATTTGATTTTTTTTTCATTTAAATATTGACATAATCTTTCCATGATTGTAAGAATATCAAGTAAAATTTATTTATTTATGTATGTCATCATTAAAAAGATTTTGATCTCTTAGAAATGTTATATTACTTCACTTGTCGTTTAATAGTCATCAAATCTAATAGTTTTGTCAATTTATGAACATTGTTCGAGCTTCTCAATTTTATTCAACTATGAGTAGTGTTCTGTTTCAACCTTTCTAATACATTCATAGATTAAAGAGTTGTCAAAAACCATACTCTATGCAGAGATTTATTACACATTGAAGGTGAAATATTAACTTCAAGAAGACTCAAATGACATTGAATTATTCATAACTATGATGATATATTTGAATATCACTCGCTTGCATGATGATATTAATTATGGAATGATAAATTGAACTTTGGTCATTTAGAAGAACGTATCATCGTGACTTGATAGAACATTGTCAATAAATCTGAGTTTCGAAAGATAGGTTTTTTAATTCTGAAAAATTGTCCTTTTGAGACGCTATCTGTTAGAGAAGAAAAGTTCATCGGAAGAATAAAAAAATATAGTATCGATTGGGTATCGACACTTTAGCATCACGTTTGAATAAGTATTCTGTGATTTTTCGTTGTTGAGATTATCGTAACATAAAACGATTTAGTTATCTTGGGTAAAATATGGAGGTAGAATGTGTACGCGAAGGACTACATAAATGCTGTGTGCGTTAAAAATTAAAATTTTGAAGATCTTTATGTTAACTATAAAAGAAAGACGTTCTTTATTTCTTATTTTTTCTCAGAGAAGAAACGATGATTCATATGTCACTGAAATGAGCTAATCGTATTATTCTTTTTTGTCACTGTGTGTTAAATACTTGTTCTTTGTACAATCTCTTGTTGATCGATATCCAGTTTTTTATTTAAATTTATTAATATTCTTATTGTAAAGTCATGCATGCTAGTCAAAAATTTCAAGGTGCTAAACCACCTCGGTAAGAATTAGATTATATTCATAAAAAATTCATTTTCAACTATTTATATTCAGTATTCCAACTCGATCTGGTATTGTTCAACAACCAACACAAGTTGCACCAATTAAACGATTAGCAAATAATACACCAGTAACAAAAACAAGAGCATCAACTATGGTTAAATCACAATGTTAGTTTTTTCGTATTATTATCAAATTCATCTGATTGAAAATAATTTTAATAGCATATTTTCTCAAATCATATTTGTTTATTTTAGCTGCATACAATATACCAAGAACATCTACTGTAACAGTCACTGCCCCAGTTGTTTCACAAATGAAAAAAGTTTGTTTTTAATGATATTAATATTAAAACAAAAAAACTAAGATTGAATATATGATTTTTTGTTTGTCAAGTCAATTAGTGAACAAGATCTTGTTAATGTTGTACCTCGCACACAAAAATCTCGATTTGGTTTTGTTAAAAAATCTGTTGATTTAGCTGGTATAAGTTTTAACTTTGGTCAATCATTTCTATTTTATAGTTTTTTTAGCTGTTCGAGAAGATCCACCACATGTATCACCAGTAAAACCTGCTGCTTCATCACGTATTAGTGGTGCTTGGAAAAAAGTTGTTATCATTATTAAAGAAAAAGAACTTAAGTTAATTAGTTACCATAAACATCTTTTTTTTTTCTTAGAATGGTGATGATCTAGTTGATGAACGTGATCGACGTGAACTTATTCTTACTCAAAATGAACTTCTACAAATCGTCTTTACCAATCAATTATTTAATGAAATCATTCAATCAAATCGACAACTTCAAACAGTAAGAAATATCATTTTAACATAAAACAAATTTTTTTTGCTTCTCTAAAACAAAAAATACTCAGGCTCGTTTCGGTAAATTACATCGTGCTGCATATCGAATAATTAATGATATTAATAATTTACAAGAAACAAGAAAAAAAGCTGTTGTAGATAAAATTGTTGGAAATATTATTAAAACATTGGTAAATTTTATTTCATATCTTCTATCAATTGTTTATCATATTTTATTATTTTCTGTCTTTTTAGGGTGAAACATTAAGTAAAATTGTTCGTTTATTTAATGATTACGATCAAAAACAACAAACACTTGATATTTGTCTTTCAAATAAACTTGATCGACTTCATATTCAATCTGTGGTAAATGATATAACAGATGAAAATAAAGGTATTATATATTTCAAATAAAACATCAGATCAGTTTTTTTTTCTTCTTCTTCTCATTATTATAGAAAATTGGAATCGTACATGTGATCGTCTTATTGAACTGATTGAAGCAAATGAATTAGCACAAATGAATACAATGGATTTAGAAACTTATTCAAAATTAATACATGAACTTGATTCAACTATTGATTCATATAAACATACAATTTCAAAGTAAAATTTTTGTCCATGAAGTCTAAAAGTTTATTTCTTGTTATATATATATAGTTACAAACATGTAATATCCGCAAGTGAAAAAGCTATGTTACAAGTATGTGTTCGTCTTATTGATCAATATAACAAAAACAAAAAATGAATATTATTATCATGTAATTCTGAACATTTCATACATTTTCTTTTTCTTTAATATAATAGTTGTCAGATAGTTTCTTAAAATAAAGAAAAGAGATAAATAAAACAATTCGATATTTTCCATACAAAAAGAAAAAATATTATTTTAAAAATTTTGTTTTGATTGATATAATTTCAAGAGAAGCTTAGGCATTCGGATATGTTTGCAAGTTTTTATTGAATATAAAATAATTTATTTCAAGCAAAAAAGACAATTTTTTGACATTTAACTGGTTCTTTAACTCAAAACATCTTAGATCGAGTGATCATCAGTATTGTAATACAGCTTTACTTAATGCACCATTAGTTAGAAACATACTTAGCAGAATACATAAACTGATGAAATTCATGCATCACTTGAATATCAACTCTATGGCTTGATCAGCATATCTTATTGATTAGATTGAAACTTTTTTTAGACTTTTGTCTATAAACGATGATGAAGAAACCTAAAAAGATTGAGACCGCAGCACATCCCACTATCCAAGTTGTTATGGCTATTAGCGAGATCTTTTACTTCATTGACACATAAAGTAATATGCAATCAAGACCAATCTGAAAAAGAAGGTAAAACTATCAGTATCTGAATATTGGTCTTCTCTCTCATTATACTAGCACTTTATTTTATTGAGTAATCAATACAACTTTAATAATTAAAACATCAAAAAACAATTATGATAACCAGAAAAGATCTGAAAAGGGTTTATTTGTATACTTATCCGAATTTCTACGATTTTCAGTGCTTATATTTGAGATTAGAATCCACTCATGTCCTCGAAACGAAACGATCCACTAGATCAATTCTCGAATAAATCAAACAATACTGTAGCGTCACCTATAAACAGCAATATGACTTTCATTATATGAAAATTCTATAACAGCAAAATTATCGAGTTTCATTAATATTTTTATAACATGTCTTAATATACATCGTATATTTTTTTCATATTTATATGTAATGTAATGTAAAGAGGAAAATATAATCATTGGACTTTATCCATCGATACAATTACTATATATTATTTTCATTTATTTATTCTCTATGTAATGGAGTTCAATAATAATATTACATCAAAACGTTTTCGTTCTGAGAATTCTTCTATACATTATCATTCTACTTTATCCGACAATCTTCTTTCTTGTCCTTTTTGTACATTTAATACAAATTCTCAAGTTGATTTTGATTTTCATAATCATATTCATCATCAACATATATGTTCTCAATGTTTACATGTATTTCCTAATTATTTTCTTTTGGATCTTCATATGGATGAAGTACATAATACTTATTCAAGAATTCGATCATATCGTTGTTTGATTGAATCATGTTCAAAAATATTTTCTAATATTGAACAACGTTTTCAACATATCAATGATGAACATCATTCTACAAAAAATCGTCATTTAAATGATATATTTATTTTATTTTCAAATCAAAAAATGAATGAAATGAAAAACAAAGAACAAGACAAAAAATTTGGTTGTGATAGTCAAAAAACATTTATACGTAATTCACGATTACGGCCACGACAATTTATTGATATGAATTGGGACGGTGATGAATAAAAGAATAAAATGGTTCTTTTTTTTTTATTTTTCTAGATTATTAAACGTCTTTAACATCATCATGTCGGACACCGAGATGGACGAGACGCCACGCGCCTCGGATGAAGTCGACTTAAATAAGTCGTTACAGGAAGTACTTAAATCAGCTGCACGTAATGATGGTCTTGCACGAGGCTTACGAGGTAATATAATTACATATTTATTATTATTTTTCTTTCTTGCATACAGACTTTGTTTTTTTTTGTTTTTCTTATTTAAGAATCGGTCAAAGCTTTAGATAGACGTGAAGCTCATCTTTGTGTTTTAGCATCAAATTGTGATGAACAAAATTATGTTAAATTAATTGAAGCATTATGTGCTGAACATAATATCAATTTATTACGTGTTGATGATAATAAAAAATTAGGTGAATGGGCTGGTTTATGTAAATTAGATAAAGATGGCAAAGCACGAAAAGTTGTTCGTTGTAGTTGCTGTGTTGTTCGTGATTTTGGTGATGAAACACAAGCTCATGATCAATTATTGGAATTTATGAAGAAAAACAAACAATCAGCATAGAAATAAATTAATTAAAATGCTTTTTTTGTTTTGTTTTCACACTAGTTTATATCATCAGTTGATGATTTAACATCAATAAAATGAAAAGAAGAGAAAATTTTACATACAAATATCAAATTAATATAGGCAGTTTGATTTTATTCATAATGTTCTCGTATTTACCAGAAATTGAATTATTTTGAAATGACATAAAGTTTTTATCTCAAAATATAATTTAAAATAATATATTTACCAAGTTGAATAAAAAATTATAGATAAACTTAACTAATAAATCCAATGATGAAACTCAGAAATGTTTAATATCCGACATACCTGAAGTCAAATATAGTCTTATTATATAAATTACGTTTCTGAGAAATGATGTACGTTGATCACATTTTCAATTTTTTGAATAGTTCATATATTTTTAATTCCTATAAAACGACCAGAATTATTTACGATTTTTGAATCTAGTAGGTCAGATAAAGTGTATTCAAAAAAAGTTTTTTAAATCAACAGAGATTATTATCACATTATATTTTATTATTATAGATTTCTTTTTATGCTAAACATATCTATCGGCCAGATAATCATCCTATATCAATATATATTACAGATTGCATAGAGTTTTATGTCTACTTATTTTTGTTTGTTTAAATGTATTCTTTTTTGTTTACTTTTAATATAAATGTATGTGAAGTGCAAAAAACTAACAACTAAAATTTAAATCACTACTAAACAGCCAAAACAAATGAAAAAAAAGATCGTGCAACAATACTAATACTAATCGGGAAAAAAAAGAAAGATGACGTTTAGAATTTTTTTCCTATAAAGTAGGAGTGATAGTCACATTTTGATGAATTTCTTCTAATATGCTATCAGCACCCATTTGCATGAGTTTAACAGCAAGATTTGTACCACATAATTCAGCATTTTCTAATACTGTTTCATTTATATTCATACCACATACATGAGCATAATGTCGAAGTAAAGGTACAACTTCCGATGTTTCTGTCGGTAATATTGTTAAAGATGATTGTGGTGCAGAAGTTGAAGAAACTGACGTACTTATAGACTTTTCATCTAATTCAGTAGATTGTTTTTTTGAATTCATTCGATTTGAAGATAAATCTATTGATTGTATATTATTCTCAAGTAATGAAACATCATCATCTGAATGTGAAACAAAAAATGTTGAACCATGTTTTGTTGTTGTCATTGGTATAGTTAAATCAGAATTTTCAACACGATCTTTAACAATACGTGATCCATCAAGATTAAGTAAAATACCATCAATTAATAATCCTTTTTCATTGTATATTGTACGTACAGCATTCGGAATACTACAACCACCACCAACTGTAAATAGAGAAACAAAAGATTAATTATTATAAAAACTAAAACCATTAGATTATATGTAATAGATTATACAGATTGTCGATAGTATTTTTTTTTGAATTTCTTACATATTTCTTTTAGTCATTTTTTAAGTCTATACAACAAAAAATAAAATTTTAAAACTCCTATTAATAAAATGTGTTTATAGATCTAATAGAAAAAAGAACTAGGTGTTTTCTAGAACGAGCTTGTTACACTGTGTAGATCAAAACACACATACTTCGTCTTAGAAAAGCTCGTTCAGCAATACAACGAATAACTGTTGGTTCATGATTAAGAACAGATAACATTCGAATCGTATCAATATCGTTATGTCGACATTCAATTCCTAATGCTCCTTGTCCAATTGCATAAAGAACTCGATCAGGTTCAATTATTTCACTTATTCTATCTGTCCATTTTAATCGTTGTAAACCGGCAACAGCTGCAATCATTGCATCATATCCAAGTTCTCGATTCTTTAATTTTTCCCAACGTGTATTCATATTTCCACGTATATTTTTATATATAAATTGTGGATAATTTAATTTAAGTTGTGCAATACGACGTGTTGAACTTGTACCAATAATACTACCATGTGGTAGTTCATTTAAAGATTTTTTATTATGCCATGGTGCAATAACAACAGCATCACGTGGATCAACACGTTCAAGTATTGCACCAATTATCATATTAGGTGGTAAAACAGTAGATGGAACATCTTTCAGAGAATGTACAACAAAGTCAATAGTGTTGTTATTAAGTTCAACTTCAAGTTCTTTAGTAAATAAACCTTTATCACCAATATTAGCAAGTGGATCTAATAGATTTTTATCTCCGATTGTTTTAATTTTAATTACTTCATATTCAATATTTGGATAGAATTTATGAAGTTGTTCAATAACACTAGAAATGAAAAGCAAACAAAAATAAAAGACAAAATAAAACATAAAAATTTACCTTTCAGTTTGAACAAGTGCTAATTCACTTTGTCGAGTACCAATCCTATATTTTGATCTCAATGGTACATACTGCATAATAGGTATTGTATGATAATATATATATACCTTATGACTTTTTAAAATTTTCTATCTGAAAGATAAAATCGAATATTGATTTCATACTTTCAAACAAGAAGAAATCAATTTTACAACAAAATAAAATTATTTATTATATATTTACAAATATATACTCATGTAAATTTTGTATGCATTGGATTCTGTCGTTCCAGATATTATACTAAACAGATTTCAAATTTATAATTTGTATTTAGATTATTATGTATATCATTAAACGCGAATTGCAAATACAATTATATGCCAACAAATTACTTCTATCGATAAGGAATATTATCAACATTCATCATTCCCTGAAAATTATTTCATAAAAAAAATGTATCAAATTCAAATTTATATGTATCTAGTACGTCCAGGCACATCTATTTTGGTACTCGTATAAAATATTCTGTAAGTAAAGCATAATGTCTACTATTTATAACAATACTATTTTGAGTCATGAATTTGATAGAATATTAACCACTCATTTGATTATAAAAGCACGTAGACAATATAAAAACTATGTTTTTTTTAAAGCCTCAAATATGATGATAAAGAAAACGTGTTAAAACAAAATTAAATTATCTATCCGCTATTGAGACTCGTACTGTTGATTATATCTTATGAGGATTCTACTACTATGTACTATTAAATAGAAAAGATTAGATTATATAAGATTAAGACAAAGAAAATGTATCAAACAGAAAAAAAACAATTTTGTTTTTTTTATATGGTAACATATTGATACACGAAATTTTTAACATACCAACACGTTTTGTTTTTTTTTTTATATTATCAATTGGTTGATCTATAAATGGTTCCAGTATGATACACACATTATGTCTATATTCAAGTCATCCAATGATTCATTTATACTAATAAACAAACAAACTAAATCTAGGAATTAATATAGAGCGTCCTCATTTGAGACTTTCAAGGGGATGCCGCCACATATAAGAGAACAAAGCTAAGATTAAATGATATTATAATACCGATGTCTTTTCTACTATTCGACACATGAATTAATTCAAAACGTTAATGATAAAATAAACTTATTCTTTGCTCAACTAAATTTTTGCAAAGGGGTATCTGTTACCTTTTACACTTTAGTTTGCTGTGTGAGATTGAATTGTCTAAGTTGAAAAAAAAAATTTTTGACAAGAACTTATAACAAGACTATATTTTGTCTCAAAAATAATATATTACGTAAATGCTATATTTTTAAGCAAATAGGGATTGAAGCAAACTGTAGAGACAATGTTATTTACAAACCTAAACAACACGAGTTGCTAACATTCGAAAGGATTACTATTCTCTCTGATAGTGAGCTGATATTTTGGGTGCATGCATGCAACAATAAACTCTAATCGCAAACATCAGCTTTCTCTTGTAGTCATCTTATCTCTGCCATGTTGATTCAGATTTTTCGCTTAATCACCCGCATGTGAAATCTCAATGTCACTCGTTTTTAAGTAAAATAGGTCTTTTCTACGACGAATTTCACTTATTCATTCAACAATTTCAGTAGAAAGCACCCCATGAGACGGCAAGTCTAATTGAAAGTCTTAGAATCACAACATTCGATGTAGTCGAATCAGTGTTACGACATCGGTTCTCTATTTCAGAGTTTGTTCAGTACTTAGAGATTGATCATATATTACAAGTTTTGGTATTCATAAGGTAAACGAAGGAAACTATCTTTAGTGCTAGAAAAAATAGCAATAGCTTTTTGAATAGAAAAATGACCAAAAAAAACTGTTTAAGTATATGTTCACACTGAATATGTTCTTCAGAAAGAGAAGATGATATTTCAATCATAGCTCTCTATTACATGTGGATCGATGAAGAGCGAGCTATTTTTTACAGTCAGTATTTATGGTCATGTACATGCATCTAAAATATATGAGCTCAATAATTTTGTTGAGGGTTGTGAGTTCTGAATAAAATAAAAACCTCTGTTGGAAAACATGCATCTTTGATACAAATCAAACTTGTCCGTAACCGACGATGATATTAGATTAATTGTCTCTG